AGAAAATGATCTGAAAATGGCAAATAAGGTGACCCACCGATGAATACAAATGATGGATTGGTCAATATAACTTATGAGTTGTGACCAAATGAGGAAATGATATAGATAAGTGGATAGAATTTGTTCTAAAATTATTAATGCTGAGATGCTAAGAAGGAATATGTGAGATGGTGGAGTCTTGAAAATCTTGTTGCCACAATTGGAATTTCATGGCATTGCTTTAGTGATATTTGCATTACATACATCGTGTTTATATTGTATTTAAATTCTTGATAATTACATTTGCATCATGGTTAGGGTATGCATTTGCATTATATAGAGAATATTTAAATCATAGAATGTCATCTATATTATTGTTTAAGACACGCATTTGCATCATTTGTGAAAATCTGAATTGTTAAGTTTGCAACATGTATAAGACATTTGCATTGACATTTATTGCATACAAAATTTGACTTTGATTGGAGAAAATTTTTTACTTTTGAATTTTTGAATGAGAAAAATATTTCATGATGAGCTTTTTTTTTTTTTCAAGGAAAAATTTTCAAACTTTTAAAGTTATGGAACATTTGCTTAAAGGAGCTTTTGGAATGAGAATTTTTGAAATTTTAAATGCGAAACCCAAAAATCTTTTCGAATAAGAATTTTTGAAATTTTGGATCTTAAAACCTTAAAATTTTTTTGGATGAGAACTTTGAAACTTTGGATGTGAATCTTTAAAATTTTTCAAATGTGAATATTTGAAATTTTGGGTGAAATCCTGAAATTTTATCAAATGAAAATTTTTGAAATTTTGAATGTAAAATTCTAAAATTTTTTTAATGTGAATCTTTGAAATTTTGGTTATGAATCTTTAAATTTTTTGAATGAAAATTTTAACTTTGAATGTGAATCTTTAAAATTTTTAAATGAAAAATGTGAATCTTTAAAATTTTTAAATGAAAATCTTTGAATTTTGGAGGTGAGTCTTGAAATCTTTGATATAAATCCATGAATTTTTTTTTATCTAAAACTATAAATTTTGGATGTGAATCACCAAAAAATCTTTTGAATATGAATTACAATTTGTAAATTTTTACAATGATGAAAATTCTTGTGAATTTGAATCTTTTGTGAATCTTTGAAACTCTTGCAAATCTTTGAAATTCTTGTGAATCTAAATCTCTTGCGAATCTTTGAAAATTTTGTAAAACTAAAACTCTTGTAAATCTTTAACCTTGGTGAAACTTGCAAGCTTGTGAATCTAAAATCCTTGTGAATCTAGAACTTTTATGAATCTAAAACTTCTATGAAACTTGAAATCTTACAAATTTAGAATATTTACGAATATGAAACCTCTGAGAATCTTGAGTCATTTATGAACTTTTAGAATATTTGAAAAACTTGAAATTCTTGCGAATCTGAAAATCTTTGTGAATCTTGAATATTTGCAAATGTTGAAATCATTATGAATTTTTTAGGAATCTTGGAGTTTTGGAATCTTTCAATATTTGTTATGGAACTTTACAAATCTTTGTAATTTTGTGAACCCTTAAAATTTTAAATTATGAATATTTGGATTTCAAGTTAAAAATTTTGATGTCTTTTGACATTTTTTATTTCCTATTTTTAAAGTTGTTTACTCTCTATACAGAGGAGCTTATTTCTTATTTTTAAAATTGTTTAGCCTCTATATAGAGGAGTCGATTTCTTAGTTTTAAAGTTGCTTAGCATTTGTATAAAGAAGCCCATTTCCTATTTTTAAAGTTGTTTAGCCTTTGTTTAGATGAGTCTATTTTTTGATTTATTATTATTTTTTAAAATTGCATGCCTCTTTTTAAAGGACCATTGGTTGAACTGGACACAATGTTTGTGTATGTCTTTGTATAATTTTTGTTTCATAAAAAATACATAAAGAGGGTAATTGTGGACACCTCATTTTGTCTAAAATTTTTTTCGAAATTGAAAAATGGGTTTTGATCATAAATTGTGCCTGATTAGGAAGTTTCGGGCCCAATAGGAAAAATATTCATTTTAATTTTAATTTGATTTAATTTTTGGACTTATTTATTTATTACTATTATTATTTTTATTTTTAACTAGTAAAAAAAAAAGTAAAAAAGGTCAAAAGTCCAAAAAAAAGTAAAAAAAAAAAAGTTTTAAAATTTCTTTGGGTTTAGGGTTCTTATCGTAATTGGGATTGGTTTCTGGGTATTTTCTAGGTTTGGAGTTTGGTTTATTATGATCTAATCTAAAAGTCCCTCTGAAATTTTTAGGACTTTTGAAAATTGTTGAAATATTTGGAGTGGATCTTTGGGTTCTATTATTGGGATTTTTTTGTTGGTCTTCTTTTCTAGAAATTTAGGCTTTTTCTAGGTTTAGAGTAAACTTCCATTTTTTTTAATCTGGGTATCTAGGTTTTTTTTGGGTTAGATTTAAGATTTTAGAAGTTTTTTGGACTTTTCAAGAAAATGATTGAAATTTCTAGCATATTTCAATTTTTAGGTAAGTTCAGGGTGGTCAGAGATGATGATTTCTGGATTCATTTGAAGATTTTGACAACCATTTGAAAATTTCAATGTCAGAATCTACGTTTTTAACTAGTTTCTGGAATATCATGAATTTCACGGTGGAAGCCTTAAAGGGAGGGGAGAGAAAACACATGTAGAGAAAGAGGAGAAGTTTTAAGTCTGAAAGAAAAGGCTTGAAATTTGCCATTTATATCCAAAGAAAATGATGCCATTTTGCCAACTACTGACTCGCGCATTGGTCTGGTTTGGTCCGACCCTTAGCACATGACCTGTTGACCCATTCTTTTCAAGTTGTTAAAGTCGAGCTGTTAAATTAGCCAAGCTGCCAAGTTGAGCAACCTTTGTGTCTACAACCAAGCTTTTTTCAGTCATTGAAGCCAAGCCAATCTTTATTTATTTATTTCTATCCTATTTATTTCAATTGATTTTTTTTCTAAAAATAAAAAAATATTTTTTAAAAAATAAATTTATAAAATTTACCAAAGTAGTAGAGTTTTTCATGGATTTAAATATATATATATATGAGTTTTACTAGATTATTGGAGAATTTCACAATTCAATTTTTGTAAAAATTAAAATAAAATATTTTGTTTTAATCTTACTAAACTATTCGAAGATTTAAATTTTAAATTAAGTCTTACCAAACTATTGAAATATTTAATGAATTTGCATAAAAAATATATTTTAAATCCTACCAACAGATTGAAGGATAATTTTCAATAGAAAGTTTTACCAACAGATTAGATGACATTTCTGGCTATAAACTCGGTTTATAGATATTTATTTTCAAAAATAAAATTAAATGAATTCGATGATAGAGCTTCTTCAAAGTGAAACATTAATCCTTATGAATACTCTTGAAGTAAGAAAATTATCTTAAATTACTATCAAACTATTGGAGTAATTTTAAATCAATTTTTAATAATTAAATTATTTGATAAAATTTCAAAAAAATTTCATGACTTAGATAATTTAAAATTAAATTAATATCATTTTTTAGATAGACGTTATGAGGATATTATAATTTTTTCACGCGTAATTATATTTTTGACCCTAAAATTTGATTTTAAGGACTATAATATATTATTTAAAGATAATTAATTAATTTTAAGACTTCTTGTTTAATAAAATAAATTTAATTATATAAATAATTATATAAAATTTTTTTTATAATAACTCTTAAAATTTATGTTTAGTGATATATCCTTATGATAATGATGTTGGTCAATGTTATCATATCAGGGCTTGGTTCCTTCTCCCTACTATCTAATCTCAATTAACTTGCCATTCAAGGGACTGCTCCCATTGGATCCTTTAAACTTGTATCCCAGGACAAGTAATTAATTATTTGCATTCCTATAAATTCAATGCTTTTTCTGTTGTCTTGGCCTCCATTTGAAGAAATATTATTTTGAAATTAATTTTGGACTATTACAAAAAATATTAATAATAAATTCTTCGAGTACAGCCTCCATAAATTGATCTTGATAAAAATTTAAGAATATATGAAATTATAGGTATAAAAATTCTGACGTAGTATCAAGATTTGGAATTTCATGAGCAAGACTTGCAAATAAAACTTTGTTGCTTTAAAGCATATAATTATTCTACGGAGAAATAGAAGAACGAGACTAGATCACCACGCAAGAACGTGGGTACATATTTTACATGTCTCTATAAGGCATTAACGGTGGTGTGATCCATCAATAAATTAAAGCAGCTGCCATTGGTTGGACCCGCAATAGTACGTTAATGACAGATACATGGAATTTTGGAACATTACCAGATTTTATCTGTTTCAAAAGTAAGAAAGGAACTACGGAAGGTAGCAAAGAATATGTTGATAGGAAAGCACTAGTTTGCCTTAAACTTCTTGGCTTAGCGGTGAAGAAGCCTTGAGGAAGGTATGTCAACGTAGATTTTAATTTCGTCATTTTACTTTAATTTTGTAATTCAAGGTTTAGAGATTGAAGTTTGGACGAATTTCATAAAAAAATATAAAAATAATAATGTGTCACAAGTTTCTGTTTTATTTTATTTTTAAGAATTTAATTTTTATTGAATTATTTAAAGAAATTTTATCTTTATAATATTATTTTAAAAAAATTTAATTTATGTAATATTAGTTTTTTAAAGAATTTAATCTTTGTGTATTATTAACAATTGAATTGAAATTTTTATAAAATAATATTATAAAAATTAAAAATTTGTAAATAATAACAAAAAAAATTAAATTCCTAAAAACCAAAAAATACAAAATCTTATGATACATTTAAAAAAAAAATTGGATGACATTCATATAGATAGAATTAGATAATTATAAATAACGAGATGCTAAAACAATTTTGATAAGACAATTTGGGTACATCAGTGCTACTGTACATAAAAAGGATTCTTTGAGGATATGATATGACACATATAATATATATATTTTTAAACGTTTTGCTTGCAGTTGTCAGGTGCTTCTATCTTTACACACGTGTAATATAAATCAATGCCACTATAGTTTTGTATTGGCAGCTGTCCATGCTTTGCCCATTGCGTTTCAACCTCTGTCTTTCTTCTCTTTGCTTTAGACTATTTTTTCCCTCTTCTTTCTACACAGCAAAAAAAAAAAAAAAAAACAGGTGCTCATTTTTAACTTTTATGTATCAAAATTGGGCTGTCAAGATCTTGCTTTATATTATTTTCAACCCATAGAATCATACAGCTGTTGGGTTTTGAGAGTTTTTTTAACCAAATTTCTAGGTTTAGGCCATGGATTTCCGAAAGTGGTTAGCCATGGGGTTAACTAAGTTTGCAAGAAAGTGTTCTAAAAAAAAGCGAGGTAAGTGGTGATTGAGAACTTTACCCAATGAATACTATGGATGATAGTTGGAATGATTTCTTTTTTTGGTAGATTGCTTTGTTTTCTGTGTTTGATTAGTGATTTTTTGGGCATGTATTCTTCAGTGTTTTTCGAGATTAAGTTGAAGGTTAGGGATGGTTTGTTTTTATGATTATCTTTATGTATCTTTAAGTTAATGGGATTTTGTTTTGTTGCATGTGATGTGGTGTAATTTGTTTGAGTTCTCTTCTTTTTTGAGTTACATGTTACTTCTCTTTAGTTTAAAGGTTGTATTTTTCTTTGGCGAGAAGCCAGTTATTGTTTTTGGTATTAATTATGTAAATTTGCTCTAGTTTTTTGGAATGTTTAATTTTAACTTTTGTTTGTTTATTATATATGAGTCTGCAGTAAGTGAATTGCGTTTTGTGTAACTTTAGGAACCCAGAGGAGATTCCATGGGGTGAGACCAGAGCTGAATACATAGTTGAATCAACTGAAGTGTTCAATGACAAAGGCAAGGCTGCTGTCCACTTGAAGGTATTTTGTTATATGTTTGATGTCTTTGCATTTTTTATTTGTTTTATGTTATTTTCTATGCATAATTTTGTTTGAATTGTGATTTATTAATGCCCTGTCCCATTTTGGTCTGTTTCTTTGGAATGAGTTTCTGTCTAATGCAAAGGGATGATTTGATTTATTAACTCTTTAGCTTGAATGGTTAAGGTTCTTTGCTTTGAATTGTATTAAACTTACATACGGCTTATCTCACATGGGTGGTGCTAAGAAAGTAATAATCTCAGTCCCCAGCAAGGATGCTCTCATGTTTGTTGTGGGTATTAATGAGAAGGATTACAAGCCTGAATACGACATCATTTCCAATGCTAGCTGCACTACTGATTGTCTTGCATCCCTCACTAAGGTTTATCTTTGATTGTTATTCTTGAGTGACTTAATCTTTATTCTTGAAATTATCTTGATAATCTTACCTTAAGACTTTTAAAAGTTTTACATATGACTTATGATATTTGTTTATATTTTGTTATTTTGATATCCCAATTTCTTAGTGTTATTTCGAAAAGTAAACAAAAATTTCATTGAAATTCAGTTCATAGACTTTGTTAAACAACATATTACTGTTACAAGACAAAAATAAAAATTATAGCAATAGGGAAAAAAAAAAGTAATGTCTCTGGTCATAATATTGGCTCATGCCATCAGTACTGTGCATTTGCAGCCCATGAAATTCTTTTGTGCCTAATGACCTTCCACTTTCACTAATGAAAGGAAGGCTAACAGTTAGATTAGGCTTGGCACAATGATGACATTAATGTGACCTGTCACTATTTTTACTGTTCTGTTTGACTTTCTTTTTTCTTTTGAAAAGGGAATTTGAGCTTATAAGTAGTGCGAATCAGTGATGATCTATAATTTTCAGATTATAAGGACTGTCAGTTAGTGGTCTGCTGGAACCAGCCAAATAGAAGAGAACATTTATTGTGCTTATTGCTCCCTCATTGAGAAAGCAGAACATTTTGTTTATATAGAGGTATATGCTGATTTTCTTAATCTTTTACTTGGCTATTTCACTATGAAACATGTAATTGCACGGCTTATTCCCCCTCTGTTCTTTCATTCTTTTACAATCTTTTCCAGAACCAATTTTTTATATCAGGCCTCTCAGGGGATGAAATTATTTGGCATCGTGTGTTAGAAGCATTATACGGCATATTATGCGGGCTTACAATGATAAGAAGTGTTTCAGGGTTATTATTGTCATACCTCTGCTTCCTGGTTTCTAGGTTGTAATTTTTGCCACTACTCTTTTAATTTGGAGTTCAGATAATATTATTATATTTGAACTGATTTTAAGTTCAACACAGGGTATTGATGATGCTGGTGCAGCATCTGTGAGAGCCATAATGCATTTGCAGTATCGAACTTTTACCAGAGGATAGAATTCAATATTGCATAATCTTTATGAAGTTCTTGGTTCTAAAACTCATGATTACATATCTTTCTATGGCCTTAGAGCATATAGAAACATTTTGATCGTGGTCCTGTGGATACCAGTCTGGTATGTTTTTGCATTAACATTTATCTTGCTCTATCATTTGTCACATCTGCATAATTCTCTTTACAATGGCATAATATCATATCAGAGCACTTGAAGATGAAAGTTTAGCATGTAGCATGCACATGTTTGATGATTTATTTGTCCCCTACTATTTCTGCAGGCATATGTGCATGGTTAACCTTTCTCCTCCTTAATGTTCAAGCCAAAGCGGGCACCAGAATAGAAGACCATCACGCCCACCGTTCTTGCATTAGGAAAAAGGTTACTACTTATGATTATCTCTTTAAAGCTACTTCTAATTCTCTCGTTAAGAAAATTCAAATGCTTTTTACATGCTTTAGGACCAAATTGGTTTAGATAAAGTTGATTAAGGAACCTCTGTTATGTTAAACTGTGGATATGACTTTGTTAGAGCCATGCTATTCTCTTCTTCTTATGTGAAGAAAAGATGGGGATGAGAGTAATCTCTATCTGTTAAAAGGGCGGATATATGAACATTATGTTAATGCCTTAGAATGAAATCTACTGGCTTTTACTTTCATTTTAGCATCCATTATTTTATCACAACGATTTCTTACTTTTATAGGTTGAAGGGACACCAGATAGACCATGATTGCATGTTCAACGGTCTGATAACTTACTCGATGACATGGAACGACCAAGATTTTGATTTGGGGTTTGCATTTCTTGCACACAAAAAGAAAACCTGCAAAAAGAAAGGAAAAAAAAATCAAAAGGTTATGCTCTTGATCATTGGTATTTTTTTTATGTTTATTAATGATATATGTCTTTGTTGGTGTTTAATCTCATCAAGAAATTACTGGATTCTTAATCATGTTTCCTTCGCAACATCATTAGTGTTTTGTTTTTTCCAAAGTAAGTTGATATTTGGATTTGGCTATTTTTTTCAGGGAAAAGGGCAGTGGACGGTTTTTGAGAGCAGATAGTTAGAACTTAAAAGAATGGACTCTTTTCCTGATCTTTATCCTTTGACTAGTCTGCAGATCGGGTAAGAGCCAAATCTTGTTTAGTGGATATGTAAATGAAATTATTGTTTTTTTTTTAGATAAATGAAGAGTTGTAGTACATTTATCATATATATAGTTCTTGAAAAATGAAAAAAAAAAATTAAGGAGAAATCAGGTGCTCAAGTGCCCTATGGGAAAGGTACTTTGAAATATGTCAAGATTGATGATTTTAGCATGATGCATCTTGACATTGGTGAGACTGTTGATAACCTTGAGGTTGTTGGCATCAGTAACTTCACAATCATCTAGCCCAAATTCTACCAAATGATTTCAAGATCCTCAAAATTGAAAGAATTTATATGGTGTGAAGTAGGAAGGAGTTTGTCCAAGTATGAGGCATTAAAGTGTGGTATTTGAATTTGAATGAACTTTAAGAGAATGATTTTCTTTTTGTTCAATTTAGTCTGGGACCTTAAAATGTTTTACTAAGAGTACTTTTTTGTTTCTCAATGAAGTAATCATACTATTTTTAGTCGGTAATTTCTTATTGTTATTTTGCTATTAATTGTCTTTGTAATGTGATGATCCTATTGATTATTGGCATTTTATGTGCTTCAGAAATGGAATTAAGTGCCTTATACCTATGATAAAAAGTTCATATAGCATGATAGGTCCATCATACCTACATGTGATGTTCGTGATAGATTTGTTGTTCTTACATGTGAGAGGGATTATTAAAGTGGTGATAAAAGTAAACTCCAACAAGAGTACCAAGCATTAGTGCCACAAAATTAAGATCGTCCAAACTTAAATCTAGAACCACTTAAATCAAAGGGAATAACTTACCAATTCAACTGACCCTTCATTGATTTTAATTTATTTTTGTGTTTTTTCCTATTTTTAAGATTTCACATTCAGTTAATTCCTTCATGCAAAAAGATTCAATTTCCTATATGACTGCATGGTTTAGATTAAAGCAGCATTAATTTTTATCTTCTGTCGGATATATATATTTGATACTTTCTTTGGAGAATTTTCTTATAAAAGAAAAAAAATCTTAAAATTGAATCCGAATTTAACTTAATTTATTCATAATTTACGTAGTTTTAAAAAATATCATCTAACAGATTTTGAATTTAAATTTTAATATTTATAATATTTTTCTTATTTATAAATTGCAACCTATTTGTTTAAAAAAATCTTAGAATTGTTATTAATTCAGGTAAAGATGTCGGGTCTTATTTCCGAAAAAAAGTAGGCATATTCTCAATTCTCATAAATGAGTGGCTGTAAATCAAGTTTTCTTTTGTTAGAATCCGCATGTATTGCAACAATTTTGAAGCTGTAATCTTTAATTTGCATGCCAAGTTAGATTGAAAGCCAAAACAAAAAGTTGGATAATATCTTACCCACCTTTTGCAGGAAATATTGTCCATGTAAGAAATTTAAAGCCTTACATTTTTATTAAAAAGAAGCGTTGTAATATATACATATATATATATATATATATATTTCAAATTGCAAACTAGATGCTTTAATTTAAGAGAAATTATTTCAACTAATGAACTTTTCAGATTTTACAAGCAAGATTAATAATATGACACATAGTTTTTATATTTAAAAAAATAAAGAATTAATTAAAAAATAAGGTATGCGTCAATCTTATAATTTCGTTTGTTAAATTAAAAAATTATATTGATAGTATACAATAATTCTTATTTTAAATTTATCAGATAATTAATTATTTTTTTAATTTATGCTCAACTGACAAGTTAGGAATAATTGACATATATATTAGTAATGTTTTTATGAAACACTAAACATTATCAAATGTTAATTATATATATGTAGTTGGCATTGACCTTCCCCATGATGGAAAGTCAACAAAATTTCTTTGTTTTCCTTTGTTTCATCTGTGCAATTATTGTCCCCTTCCTCTTTTAATCCCTCCATCTTATTTTCGTTTTTCCATTTCTCTCATAGCAATTTCTTTGTGTGGTTCTCATTAGAGCTATATAAAGAAGTGATAGTTTTATCCTTTTTGGTGTATATATAATCAAGAATTATAAATCATATTAATGAGAATTAGCTTAGTTTCTATATCATTTTATAAATTTTACCTTATTCATTCAGAAAATTTAACTTGGAGACTTTTAAAATGGAACCTTAAATTCTATTTACTAAAGTGTCTTCTTGAAAAAATAAATATTATGTGGTGTACAATAAGAGCATGAAATTAAATAGGAACATAAGCAAACTTGGGTTAAGCTTGGGTCATGCTTAGCATTTAAAAGAGTATCCAATATACATATTTAATATATATTGCATTATATATACAAATATTTTATAAATCCGATTTGATTTAATTTAGCTTGATTCACGGGACAGAACCAAAGTAGAATTGATAAAGATTTTTTTTAATCTTTCTCTGCACTTTAAGTACCAAGAAAAAGATTCTGATATGTCTGGAAACTTATTACTCAAACGGTATTGGAACCGGAACGGCAGAGCGTGGGTTACAGTTCACATTTGCTGCTCCCCATTTGAGTAAGCTCAATAGGAGCCTTAGGCTAACACCGTCACGAATACCTAGTGCCAGACAACACCCAAAAATGGGAAATGGGGATTGTGGTAACCATCGAGATAATGGGTCACTTAGGACTAGCGCATTTACTTGTTTCCCCGAAATTTCTTTGTACTTTACCGTACCAAAAATAGGAGGTCAGCAACATTTATGATTTGTTTTTAATTTTAATTTACCTTTGAATCTTATATCTTATATTTATATACATAAAATTTTTTTCGAATTGATAATCTTAAAACATTAATTTTAATATTATATCAATTGATTTAAAAATCAATTGTTAACAATATTTATGAATTGCAAATAAAATATATACTTAATCATATAGATTAGTAACATGACCGTGCTTGATGTGAGTCTAATTTTTTTTATTTGTAATTAATAATGTTCATAATGAATTTAATAAATCAGTGAGTATAATTTTATTTATAATTTTTTTGTTAAAATTTCGTTTATGATTTTTAATAAAAGTAATGACCAGTAAAAAATTTATCTAATAAAAATTACTTGTTATTTTGTTTTTTATATTTCCATTAAGTTTTATTTCACAAAATTTATCTAAAAAAATAAAATCAAAAACTAAAAAAAATGACAAAAAAAGAAAAAAAATTAAAGGAAACAAATCAAAAGAAAAAAGCAGGACAAATGGGTGCTACACGAGCACCCACCTTCCTTAAAAATCTACAATATTTATTGTATGCATTTTATTCACTACTGCCAGATGCTTGTTCTCCTCTTTATAAACCCCTACTCTTTCCTCTTGGTTCATGAAAGCTTTTTAGTTTTGGCATTATCTCGTTATCTCTCTAAATCAATTAGCAGTGGATTTAGAGTCCGTAGCAAATCAACAAAAAGAAAAGCAAGGCCTGTTTGCTCGTGGATGGTCACGGATAAAGGCTTTCCCTAAGAATATAAAGACTGGGGTGTTTGAATTTGTTAGCAAGGTAAAAAAGCTTGCCCAAGATGATCCAAGAAGAGTTGTTCATTCACTAAAAGTGGGACTCACACTCACCTTGGTGTCATTATTTAATCACTATCAGCCGCTGTACGAAAGTTTTGGGGTTTCTGCAATGTGGGCTGTAATGACTGTTGTGGTCGTCTTTGAATTCTCTATGGTAGTTTCTCACACCCTTACCTGTTAATAATTTCAGCTCAAAATCAATACAAAGGTGAGAATTATAGACATAAATGGTTTTGACTAAGATAATTAATTTCATTAGGGGCTGCTCATGGGAAAGGTGAGAATAGAGGTGTAGACACCAATTTTTGTTCGGTTAATAATTATGTGTTTCAAACTAATTCAATTTTAGGATTTATTTTAATTTTTATTAGATTAATTTAATATTATTATAATAATTAAAAAAATAAAAAAAATAAAAGATTGGGGTGGTAGTGGTGCCTTGCTCGGCACCACTGGCCACCCACCCCATTGTTCACCCTCGATCATACCCTGCATTGCTGAACCCTTACCCTCCCATACCTTGCAAACCTTGTTCATCTCATCAGCACTCATAAACCATCACGCTACAGCCCCATGCCCTGTCAATTCTAGATTTATACAAAAATCAGTATGAACTCCCAATCAATGAGATCGAGAGGACCTAAAGCACTGATTCCCCTTTTCCCTTCACTCGTGCACAAACACCTCCGAGGACCTCTCAGACACTGACTAAAACACCAAAAGTCCTAACAACCAAACCAAACCCTAGCTCCCAAGCCAAACCCTAGCTCGACCCCAACTGCACCTCTACTTAATCAGCCCCTCGCCCATAGCTTTTGCTTGTTAAGACATCACTCCGCAAATCCCAGTGCCAAGCTCTCACCCACATAGACACCTAAGCCAAAACACACATAAAAACACAAAAAAAAAATGCAGTCCTCTCCGTAAGGAGGAACCTCAGCGTCAAAACACTCCTATAACAAAAAAAAGGGGAGATTGTCTGTTTAGGTTTTCAAAAAAATATAAAAAAAAAAAGAAAAAAGAACACAAAAACTCTGTTTTCGATAAAAAAAAAAAAACCAAATCTAGAAAAAGGGCGTTGAGAGGAACTTTTTGGTATTTTTTGGTGTTTTCCAACCACCGCTGGTGCCAACATAGTGGTAGGTGCGAAGGCATGGGTGTCAAAGATCAGACGTCGACAGAGCCCTTGGAGCTCTGAATATTTTTTTTGGCTGAAAGGTTTGAAATGGAGTAAAAAAAAATTGGCTTTATATAGAACACTAAAGCCCAAAACGATGCCGTTTAGATCAAGGAGGATTCGAGCGTAGACTTGAATCCGACTCGAGATCTACATAATTCGACCCGTTGACCAATCCTTTAGCCAGTTCTGAACCGTTCGCCAAACCACCCTTCATCTGGTTCAATCGAATCGAGCCAGTTGAACCAGCATTGACTGGACCGTTGATTGATCCGGTTTAGGTATTTTTATTTTTTTTATTTTTTTAAATTTTTTATATTATTATTTTTAGTTTTATTTTTTAATAGTCATGCATGATAAAGTTTTAAATTTGTTAAAATAAATATTTAATTTTTTTAATAATAATAAAAATAAAAACAATAAAATAATAATAAAATAATGATAATAAGAATAAAATAATATTTTTTTATTTTTCCTGCCTAGATGTTGTAGGGAATAAAAACCTCAAACCTTAAAATATAATTCCGCCTAGATGTTAGGGAATTATAAAAAAAATTAAAATTAAAAAAGGATAATAATAATAATAATAATAATAATAATAATAATAATAAATTTTTATAAAAAAAATATATATGAAAATTTTAATTAATTTTCGAAAATCATAAAAAATCGAATTTGCTCCAAAAGTCTACCTAAATGTTAAAGATTTTTAGAGATGTTCATATTTAAAAAAAAATTGTTAAAAAATCTAAATCCTAAAACCTTTCAAACCCAAAAATTAAAACCTTAAACCTTTTAAACCATAAAATCAAGGCCTCAAGCCTCAAATCCTAAAACCAAAACCAAAACTTTCAAACCCTAAAATCGAAACCCCAAACCTTAACCCTTAAAATTGTAACCTTAAACCCTCTAAACTCTAAAACCAAAACCCTAAACCTCAAACTTTCCAAACCCTAAAAACTCAAGCCTTAAAACCTTTAAACCCTAAAACTGAAACCATAGACCCTAAACTTCAAACCCTAAAATCCAAAATCCAAACTCTAAAATCCTAAACCCTAAATTCATCACACAACCTTGAATCATCATCAAAAGTCGCCAAATCTTAAAATCTCGACCTAAACTTATACTCAAATAATTTCAAAACTTTAAGGATACATGTGAAAATCTACCGCCTTAGATGATGGGGTATTTAGAAAACTTTAATCCATTAAGTTTTTCAGACGAGTCTTTAATTCGTTCAAATAATGGGGTTAATAACTAATTAATAATAAAAATATACTAATAAAATGGGATCTTAAATATAAATAGTCGCACCTAAAGCTCTGCTAGATGTTTGGGAGTCAAGGTGGTTTCATTCTATTTTAGAATCCAATTTCAAATTTGCATTTCATTATCATACAAAGCACCTATTGGCTTACATGCATTTATTTGTTATTGTTTGCACTCATTTATATTTCTTTGTCTTTAATTTTTACTTGCTATCTAATAATACCATCGTTTACTTTTTTACACAAAATGTTTTTATTTACTTACTTTTAAAATTGTGATATTATAAAATAAAACAAAAATAACATTTCAAATGGAATAATTTTCGGTACTCTGCCTAGATATTGGAGACTTACCAACAATCATTTCTTGCAATGAGTGTTATTTTCATTTTAAGGAATATCGTATTAAATCTCAAGTGAAAAGAGTTATCTTAAATTTTGCATAGATGTTGAGAATTTTAAGATAATTCTTTAACTTAAAGATTTTTTCAATATTTCTAAATAAAAGATTTTAGCAAAAAATATTTTTTAAAATGAAAGGAATTAGTATTAAATTTCAAATCAAAATAATTTTATCTAACATAAAAAATAGTGCATGATTAAATGGTACAATTTATTGACACTGTAGGGATGTTAATCCTTCTTCATGTATAATCGACTCCCGAACTCAATTTGATTTTCATAAATCAAAATTTATCTTTTTAATAAATTTTAAATTTATTTTTATTATTTTATTAAAAAGATAAATTTTTAGACGATCAATCACACTTTAAAAAAAATTGATGATAACTTTTTTTTTATTTATTTTTAAAATCTTTTCGTTTGACGGTTTTTATGACGAGGATTGGCAACGTTGCTTAGTGGGGCTCTAGCTGTTGGGGCTCGTCATCTGGCTAACCTATCAGGACGGATAGGTGAGCCCATAGTACTTGGGTTCTTTGTCTTCCAAGGTAAAAATGTCACTTGAAACAAAATGTGCATAAAAAATTCTCTTTTTCCCATTTTTTAAAATTGGATAAAACAAATTATTGATTCAAATATAAAAACCTATGTTTGCAGCTGCGGTATCTACATTTGCAAGATTCTATCCCAAAATCAAGGCAAGGTATAATTATGGGTTGTTGATATTTATTTTGACAGTCTCTTTGATATCTGTATCGGGTTTTCGACACGATTTAAATATTAGAATTGGCTCACAAGAGATTATCAACCCTCCTCAAAGGTGTGTTATGATATCTTTGTCATAATTTCCATTTTGCTTTTTGGGCTGGTCAAGACCTCCACGACTTAATTGCTTCCAACATGGGAAAACTTGATAGCTTCCTGGAAGGTACATCTCCACTCATTAGAAGCAATTTATTTTTTCCCCTTTAACCCAAACACTAAGAGGAAGAAATCACCAATATCTGGTCTAGGGCGATCAACTCTTAATTTCAACTATCAAGATTTAAGACGATATCAAGTATTAAAAAAAAAAAAAGAAGAAATCTATTTTTATAGGGTTTGGAGATGAATACTTTAAAATGCCAGAGAATGAAGACTCCAAAGAAGACAAATTCTTCTTACAGGTTCTTAATTCCAAAAACAACGAAGACACCTTGGTGGGTGAAAAAGCTTTAGTTCTCTTACCATCCCTCATTTGAAAGATCGGTTTTTCTTGTTTTGGTTTCTGATATTTACTTTGTTGTTGAATTTTTAGGCTAATTTTGCAAGATGAGAACCAGGGCATGGTCGATTTCAATTCCGATATCCATGGAAACAGTACCTGAAGATTGCTCTTACACGCCATTGTGCCTATCGAATTGAACCTCTCAATGGACACCTAAATGCTGAAATTCAAGTATTGTCTAAATCCCCACGTCTCAAATTCTTGAGTTAAATACATTGGTAGCTACTTGGCCATTCTAATTTCTAAGAACCAACAAAAAACTTATAGATTAGAAAAAAGCTAAAAACCAAAATATAGTAAAGTTGGTTACATCATGTGTTGTAATAAGGGTAATAGTAGATTCATCTACTTAGCCATTATATTTTAAGTTATGTTTATTTCACGAAAAATTATGTTTAAAAAATATTTATATTTTTTTAAAAAGTAAATATTTTTTTATTGTTTGAATGAGTTAATAAAAAATATTTTAAATTATTTGTTTTTTAAAAATTTGTTTTTTTAAATAATATTAATATAACTATTAAAATATTAAAAATTAATTATTATTAAAGTATATTAAAATTATTAATATTCAAAAATTAAAATATTGTTAAAATTATTTATTAATATATTATTAATATAATATATTATAATATTATTTATTAATTAATATAACATTATTTAATATAATAAATATAATAATATTTACTAATATAATATTTATTTATTAATATATTAGTTATTAATATATTATTTATTAAATAAAAATATTATTTATTAATATAATAATATTTTGAGTCGAATCAAAATTTTAAAAAACATGTTCAAGGTCTGACTTGAGTAAAATTATATTAAAAAATATTAAAAAATAATTTTATTCATAGATAGTTTTTTTTCTGAAAATATCATTCCCTTTTCAAATATGTAATACAATTTATAAAAAAAAATTATTTTTTTGATCAATAAGTTATTTTTTATTAATCAGTCAATTTTTTATCAAATAAATATTTAAAAATGCATAAATTATTTTTTAAAAGTTATTTTTTACGAAACAAACGAAACCTTAGATTAACTTATCATCTTAGTCTTACTGTTGCAAGCAAAACCAGAAATTCGAAGTAAAATCCAAGAGACATACTCAAAAATGAGCATGGAATCTGGTAAAGCATTGAAGGAACTAGCATTGGCAATCAAAAGATTGGCGAAACCATTTTCTGCGGATATCCATATCGAAAACTCAAAATCTGCTGTTAAGAATCTCAACTCTTTAGTCAGATCAGGGTTATTGGATGATGAGATGGACCTCTTGGAAGTGGTACGAGTGGCCACAGTGGCTTCGTTATTAATCGATGTGATCACCTACACGGAGGAAATAGCCGGATCTGTTCTTAAACTTGCATCCATGGCAAGTTTTGAGGCCGCTGAGCCAACTGTCTCACCAGAAAAACCAGAGACAAGACAACCTGAAATTGTGAATTCATATTCCAATGATGCTAATAGTACTTGAGTTGTTAGTTATAATAGACGCTTTCAGTTTTGTTTTGGGATCTCAATTCTTTATCATTTATTTATATTAGTAATTTATTGTAAATTTAGTTAATTATATCCATGTACAAGGTTTTTTTTTTTTGCAAAGTTTTTTATGGCACATGTTCTTTTTTTTTATATATATATATCAGAGACGTAAATAAGTATACAAACATATAAAAAAAAAACCTAAAATTTTGTTTGTGATTATAGGACATTTTATAAGTACTATAATTTAGTTTATAGTCCTTTATTTGATTTTATTGGTTATATTAAGAACTTGAGATTGAATCCTGGATTAATTAATGAGGGGTTTATGTGAAAATTAAGATATCTCAACCAATTAACAAAAAGGAAAAGGTACTTTCGTTTTGTATAGATAATTAAGTTGGGGGATGCAAATTTAGTTCTTAAATTTGGTCAAACAGCAGAAAGTTCTCAAAATTTTCTATAAATTCATAACAATTAATTAGTTGCAGCTTATTGGTGCTGACCTCTCGAAACCCTTTAAATATTTACAGAATAGCTATTGAATTAAAGTACTAAATCCTTGAAAATTTAATCACCAAATTTTCTTTACCACACAAATTAAGTGGCAGTTTGTTTAATACCGGCCATTGCCTCCACTCAAGGGACTTCGGAGATTTTAGGAATGAAACAGAAGGCTAGACGATAAGGAGAAAATAAAAAGGCTTATTTTAATATCTTTAAATTAATTTAGCCTATGCGCTCGATGAAGCTAGGCGATCGAGACACATTCTCTAAATTTTCTGCCTGTCCAAACGTGACCATTGATTCAAGCAACTTGTCAAGTCAATTTCATCACTAAGTAGAAAATCAAGATTTTCATCACTGATTAGAAAAAAAAATTATATTCAAATATCATTAGACATGAATTTATTTTAATTTTATGTTAAATCTATTGAATTATGCGTGAATTTGTTATTGGTTGGTTTGTATATTTAATTGATTAATTTTTTGCCTGTAATACTTGAATGTGATTATAATTTCTCTTGTTTTAATAATTTCGTAAAAAAATTCCAATCAATCATAGTTGACCTTAAACTCACATTAGATAAAGCGGTATCCTGCATATGCTGCTTTAGCAAATAAGAATTGAAGAATAGTAATGAGTAGAACACATGTTCTGATTAATTCATGGAGTGATTTGTCTCATTCTTTTTGTTTTTTTTATTGTTTTGAGATTGGAAAGTGGGACACTTCGTTGCTGATAACTTGTAACGTAGCCAGGCTGAGCAATAAGCACACAGTAATTGAAAACCATTAACCTTGGGTTATGGTGTTGTATATGGCGTAGTTATGATAAACCTATGTAGCAGTGGAGGAGAAAAAAATTCTTTAAACTTTCGTAAAGCTATTTTAAGGATATATAATAGTTTTTTTAGGAGTAAGTAATCCGTTGATTCAGTTTAAAAAAATCAATAACTAACTTAATCAATTTTTATTTAACAAATAATTAAATCGATTGAATATTATTAAATAATCGATTATAATCGAACCAATCAAAATCGATTCGATTTGATCGGTTCAATTAAATAATCAATTTTTTTATCATTTTTTTATTATAAATAATTATTTAATCATAAATTTAATTAAATAAAATTCAAACTCAAATTTCATTCAAACTAAATGATTAAATAATTTAATAATTTCAACAATATTTTACAATAAAAAAATAAATAAAAATATTTATCTTAATTTTTTTTACTTTTACGTATTAAAAAATCGATTAATTCGATTATCAATTTTAAAAATTAAAAATCGACCAAATTAATTAATTTAATCGATTTAAAACATCGATTATAACTAAAATCGAATAAACCAAATCGATTCAACCTAATTCACTAAGTTTCGATCAATCTAATCGGTTCAAACTAACTTTTACGCATCCTTAAGTTTTTCGCAGTGTCAATAAATTTTTAGAAAAATTATCTCCAAAATATAATGTCTAAAATTGAAGACGAATTGGATTGCCCTTTAACTTTTTCTTAAATTCACTCGAAACAAGATTAAAAAAAAAAAGGCGAATGACAGAGAATAATTTGATTTTTGAGAGATTTGAATGCAAAATTATATTAAATGAACATTATTGGAAGTGTTTGAATGTAAAATATGTAAGAGTAGTTGCTCTTCATAAATATTTTTGAATGCATGAAATTTTTATGTTATTAATAGTTTTAATGGATATATAATTTGGAAAATAAAAAAAAAAAGGATCGAAATTACTAATTTTAATGGCTTTAGCAAAGTACAAAAAAAAATAACATTTTAAACTAAGTTTTCAAATGCGTGGGTCGTAGTTCACACCATAACCACACAAAAAAGAACATGAAGTGGATAACAGAGAAAGCAGACAGACAATATTAGAGGCAAAGAAGTGCAGTTTGAGTTGTTTTCCACTAGGGATACTTTTTTCCCTGCTTCTGCATAAAAGAAAAGAAAGGGAAAATCATTTTTTTTTCTTTTACTTTTTGGTTTGGTATGAAGGGAGGAGAAATTTGCACCATCTTTTCTTTTGATTTCTCAAAGCATATATCACATTCTTTATATAATACATCCTTACACTTATCAATGGTTTTTGTACGTACATTAGCACCTATCCACTTTAGGTTTTGACCTTTTGTACATTGAAAGAAAATATTATAAAATTTTGGACTCTCTCAAGGGTCAAGGACCAACTTTTTAGTACCTTATTTCTATCTTGCTTTCAAAAACAAAACTAAATGAAATTGGGAAGTACTCATTTTAAATTAGGGTTACCAAGTCAAGAGAAGATTTTATAAAGTTTTTTTATCATCCCAACTTTTTGTATGTTATTAACATTTTAGAATGCAACTAAGAGTGGCATACCACTGCAAATTGGCAAATAATGATTTTGCTTATAGACATCAAAAGAGAGGTTAATAGAATTCAAAACTTCACTACAACAATTAAGATTTTTAGTAACAATTTTCTTGTAACTTTGAATAGTTTTTTCATAAATATTAGGTTTTTTTTTGACAAAATTTTCCTATGATACTATTGTAATAAATAATTGTGACATATTGTTATTTAGTTATTATCATAATAGTAATTGTGATAGTTTAAATTTTTTTTATAATTAAATCGTCACTATAAATATGTTTTTGTAATATCAAATTATTTGTCATTATAGAATCGTCACTAATAAAATATATAAATTAACGACAAGTGATTTTTTGTGGAAAGTAATGTATTAGTGATAACATATAAAGTAATCACTACTATTAGATATTGTTATCACAAAAAAATAATTTATTACATAATACTTTACTCTTTATTTCAAAATTTTTTGTCACCATTAAACATAAAAATTTTATTCTTTCAAGTTCTATTTTTGTTTTCATTTGATTTAGCAATATAATGCTTGCTATTACTTATTGCTATTATTGTATCTCGATTTTTATCTATTAATTAAAAAACTTTGTTTAAAAAAAAAAAAACATTTTAGAATGCAAGCTACAAAAAGGTGGAGTCAAGAATTTTTTGCATCGTTTTTCTTCTTTCCCCATGATTGAAAAGTAGAAACCGACCATATCTAAATCAAATAATTAACTCCACTAGTGTTTTTGTTTCACTTTTGTCTCCATTCATTGAATTTGGAAAGAAAAATTTAATGTAAGTGTGAAAAACAGAGAAGGCATTGGGTTAATTAATTACTTGTAAAGCTAAAGCACCAAACACTGCAAAATTAAAGCATCTTCTTAGTTTTATGGCATTTAAATAGATCCGTGAAAAGGAAAAATATCAATGTCTATGCAATATATCTATTTCTAAATATATAATCAAGAGATTGGAATAAGAGAAAGATATATATATGTATATATATTTATATAAATTAGATCTGATAATTTAAAATATAACTTGTTGACACAAAAATGATATGAAAAAGATACAAAAATAACATAAGTTAAAATTTTAATAAAAATTATATATACTTTTAATAAGAATAAATAATATATATTTCATATTTTTTGTGTCAATATAAATTATAATATATAATTTTTGTATAAAATATGACATAAATATAAAAATTACTAATATTTTATAAAATATAAATACACGAATTATTAGATTTATATAAATAAATGCATATATATTAATTAAGATCGATCTTATATATGAATTCTAAAATCAAATTAATTTTAATCAGCAAGTTACTAATGGGAGCATATATAATTTAATATTTTATCATTATCTTTGCCATACTCATATATGATCAAGAAGAAATAGAAAAATGCAATATTAAAAAGTAGAGATAAATACAAGTTAGAGAGTATCATAAGAGGAGTAGAAGCAACTTAGCATCAGTCAATTAATCTAACAAATGAACATTCATTTTCGTTCTAAAAAAGAAGTATTTGAGAATTAGAAGTATACGTATCCAAACATCTTATCAAGTCAAAATATAGGAGTTCTTATTTAAAGGTCCTTTATTCAAACGTTGGGGATGGAAAGTGAGCTTTCTTATATGAGCTAGGATCAAAATTTTGTAATTCAAAGTTCAATATAAGTTTATGTCATGTTACTTGGCCGTCAACTTTATCCTAAAATTTTTTTATTCTTTAAAATACATATAATTATTGCATAAACTCTAAGATAGAGTCTTTGAATTCATGAATAAGTTATTTAATTCTTAAATGAAATATTATAATCAGATCAATGTTTATATGACTTGTCAAAAAGTATAAATATTTTAGAAAAATAATTAATGAGATGAATACAACCTTTAAAAACCTAAAAATCCGAAACAACTTGTAATACCTTGCTTGGTTTGTTTGAACCCAAATAAGGCAAAATTTTTAGGAAGCAATACCAAAAATTTACTCCTAAACCATTTAAATGCATTTAACAAGGACTAAATGCTTTGTATCATGTTTGATTTTTAAATAACTCTCATTATACAATCTAAGGTATAGGGAATTTCATATATAGATGAGATCAAATACGTAAAAGTTCACCCATCACAAGGAAAGCTGTACAGGGTAACACACGTAACTTTAATATAGTAAGCAGCTAGTGGGTGGGTGAGTGGTCACTATCTGTGAATACGGCTTGTCTGCGAACTTTGGCCAGCTGGTTAGCTGCTGTGATGCAGAAAATATTCATGGTGAAATGGACCCTGGCCGTACCAAAATGAAAGGCCCTTTTCATTTTCAATGACGTCTCCAGGGCAACAACAATTGATTGAAGCTTCCTGTTTCCAGTTGCTTTGTTGCTCATAATGACAACCTAGATGCCGAAACCGCGTTTCTTCTCTACTTGTTAGACATTGTACAACCTATAACTTATAAATACATAACTTCAGCTAGAGATACGTCCATCATTGCTGCATCTTATTTTCACTTCAACATCTTATCAATTCTCCACATATTTTGATACTATCAAATTTGTTTTGACAATGGAAGCCAATTTAGCTTCTGGAATTCAGAAGACTGAAGTAGTAGAAGGACTTTCAGCGGCCAGGAGGTGGGAGTTGGTTAAGGCTTTGCCAGGGAAATTAAGAACCAGGGTCGATGAATTTCCTGGGAAGATAAAGAAATTAGGACAAGACGACCCGAGAAGAATTGTTCATTCGTTTAAAGTTGGATTAGCCATCACCTTGGTGTCACTATTCTACTATTTTGATCCCCTCTACGTTGGTTTTGGCAGCTCAGCAATTTGGGCTGTTTTGACCGTTGTTGTTGTCTTTGAGTTCTCTGTAGGTAAGTTTTAACAACGCCCTCTCTAATTTTCCATGTTTCATTCCACCTTTGTCTAATTTACTACTAATATTTATAAATTGGGGGAATTAGATAAAGATGCTAGAAGATTAAACTGTTTTTTTTATTATTTATAAAAGAAGCCATAGTTTAGGAATGGAAGAATGAGTTATAGGTGCTGAAATTCGGATTCAAAACTTCTTGAATATCATTTTTAAAAAATATTATATAAATGAACTTAACTAAATTATTTTTATGTAATTATTTGACAGGAGCCACCCTTGGAAAAGGCTTAAATAGGGGATTAGCAACATTTCTTGCTGGAACTCTGGGATTTGGTGCTCATCACATAGCAAACTTGCCCGGACAGAAAACCCAGCCTATACTACTTGGGCTCTTTGTCTTCCTTCTAGGTTAGTAACATGACCAAAAGAAAATGCACTTTAATAGTATACCTTCAAATGCTTAACAACTGAACTAATTATGGAGAAATTTGGGTTGATATACAGCTACATCAGTATCGTTTATACGATTCTTTCCCCGAATGAAGGCCAGATATGATTACGGGCTTGTCATATTCATCTTGACATTTTGCTTGATATCTGTTTCTGGTTATCGTGATGAAGAGGTGCTCGAAATGGCTCATCAAAGAGTATCCACCATACTAATTGGTGGCTTTACAGCTGTTCTTGTCAGCATTTTCATCTGCCCAGTTTGGGCTGGCGATGATCTTCATAATTTGGCTGCCAACAATATTGAAAAGCTTGCAAACTTCTTAGAAAGTACTTCCTTTGATTAATATCCACAATATTCTAAATTTTTATAATAATTTAAAAGAACTTATCCAAAACCCCTAATCTTGCAATGGCACAAGTACATGAAATTTATATATCAGTGGATTGTGCCAAGCACGGTTTATGCTATATCAAATCGGATCATGTCACGGGCTTATCAACCCATTTGAAACCTCTATATGTTATACAAAACTATATAATCAAGTTATAAATTAATGTGATTTTGCAGGTTTCGGGGATGAATACTTCAAAAAATCAGGGAATAGAGAGTCAAAGCAAGCATCATTACAAGGGTATAAAAGCATACTCAATTCGAAACAAATTGAAGAATCTTTGGTGAGTAGGAGAACCAATAAAAAAATTCAAATCTCTCAAAACCCAGAAAAAAGAATAAAAACAAGATGCATGTGATCTTACTTCAGGATTTTATTCTCCACAGGCTAATTTTGCTAGATGGGAACCCAGTCATGGGCGGTTCAGGTTTCGACATCCTTGGAAACAATACCTGAAGATTGGAAGCCTCACTCGGCAATGTGCTTACAGAGTTGAAGCTCTTAATGGCTATCTCAACTCTGATGTTCAGGTATTGCAGTCTACAGCCAGTAACTTCAATCTTCCAAGTTTTTATAATTAAATCCACAGTGCCACACATAGTTCAACTCTAGAATGTTTACTAATAAAATATGCGAATTCTTAAGGATATTACCATGAAAACTCAGTAAATTTTTTGGTACAAATAAGGCGACGGCCTCAGAATAAAGAAAGAGATTGTAGATGCTGGAATTCAAATCAAAACCCGATGGATTTGGTAATTTAAACAATAACATTATTCTTTACAGGCTTCACCAGAAACCATTGGAAAATTTCAGGAGGCATGCATCAAAATGAGCTCAGAATCAGGGAAAGCCATGAAGGAATTAGCATTAGGTATCAGAACAATGAATCTACCATCCTCTGATTGTCGTCACATTGCAAAATCCAAAAATGCCGCAAACAATCTCAAGTCCTCGCTCAAAACAGGGTTGTGTAAAGACATAGATATACTGGAGATTGTAGGAGTAGCTACCGTAACTTCACTACTGCTTGATGTTCTTTCTTGCACTGAAAAAATTTCAGAGTCCATTCATGAATTAGCCTCTCTAGCAAATTTCAAGAGCATGGAACCTAATGTAGCAGATGGGAAGCCAAATTTAAATCAGCAGGGACAAGTGCAGCCAAGTTCTGATGGCATTGATCAGCCCCATCATCATCATTTTATTATAATTGAGTAGCCAAACTCTGAGAAAAACAAATTCGTGAATAGATTAGGAATTTTTATGATTGTCAATGTTATTATTTAGTACTATCATTGAATATTGATTGGATTTTTAAAATTTTTTTTTTCAGAATTTGTGTACTAAAAAAGTGAATAACAAAAAACAGATAATAATTGGCCAAAAGTAAGCAAATTAAAATGAATACTAATTCACAAATATATGTTGATGTAAAATCACGGTTTTAAAGTAAGTGGTGATGAGTTTTATATGTATAAAAAGTTAATTCTCCTAAACTAGAGTTTAATTCGTAGTACTTACAAAAAATTGTTTCTTGTTAAGAATTACCATAGCTCTAATACTACTTGTTAAGTAAAAAAATTTATAATCCAATCACACCAGCACAAGCATACTTGAATAATCAATCAATCACACAAGAGATAATAATTTAACGTGGTTCGGTCCAATTGACTTACATTCACGAATGAGAAACAAAATTCACTAGTTGTAAAGAATTACAAACATATATCGAATCATCAACCTCTCAACAATCAATACTCATAAGACACTCTCAATCTCATTTAGTCATAAGGAGTATTCTCAATCCAAACAAACATTTACTCATGTGCACTATTTCAACACAAATAAACACATACCTATATGCACCCATACATCATACTTATGTGGATTCTCTCAATCTCTTTTAGTCTACTTACAAACAAATATACACACTCATAAGATGTAAAGCCCCAATACTCTTATGAGGTGTGTATCCCACAAAACCTTACAACTCTTTTACATCTTTTTCTCATACAAACTTGTAAAGACTTCACATATTTATAACTATATAAACTTGCTTATTAAGAATCTCTTTCTTTTTAAAATTCTTCTTCTGCAAGTCAAATTTGTCTATTAAGAATCATTTTTTATTTTAGAATTTTTATTCTGCAAGTCTTATTGTCCATCAAGTAATATCTAACAAATTTCAAGCAAATCTCTTATGAAATTTGAGTGATTATTCCTAACAATCTTTACCTTCACTCAAATTTTATCAATAATCTGTCTTCATACTAGACATATTTGACTTCACTTGCAATGAAAGTCTCACAATCATCTTCTCTTATATGTCTTTATGCTTTATGCAAACCGATATTCAAAATACGAACTTGAATTTCTTCCTTAAATTGAGCTTCTCCAAGCTTGCCTCTTCTTATGTCTCGAACCATACTCTAATATCACTTGTTAGAAATTACCATAACTCCGATACCACTTATTAGGCAAAAAGCTCCCAGTCCAATCACACCAGTGGAAGTATACTCGAACAATCAATCAATCACACAAGAGATAATAATTTAACGAGATTTGGTCCAACTGACCTACATCCACGGATGAAAAACAAGATTCATTAGTTGTAAAAAATTACAAATATACATCAAATAATTAACCTCTCAACAATCAATACTCATAAAATATTTTTAATCTCCTCTAGTCTTATAAAGTATTCTCAACTCAAACAAACACATACCTATGTATATTTTTTCAACATAACCAAACACATACCTATATACATCTATACATTATACCTATGTGGACCCTCTCAGTCTCCTTGAGTCTACTAACAAACAAACATACACACTCATAAGACGTAAAGTCTCAATACTCCTACGAGGTGTGTATCCCACAAAATCTTACAATTCTCTTACATCTTTTTTCTCATATATAATCTTGTAGAGACTTCACTTATTTATAACTATACAAATTTACCTATTAAAAACTTTTTTCTCTTAGAATTTTTTTTTTGCAAATCAAACTTGTTTATTAAGAATCTCTTTTCTTTTAAAATTTTTCTTCTATAAGTCTTCTTGTTCATCAAATAATATTCAACAAATCTCAAATAAATCTCTTATGAAATTTAAGTCATTATTCTTAACATTTTTCTTATTTTACCTTCACCAATTTTGATTAGGCATTGGACCTCCTTTGTATTATAAGTAAAACTAGGTGACCTAAACAAAATTGTTAACATAAACTTTTCTTTTTTTTTTTTTAATGATCAGAAGAGAATACATTGGAAATTTATTGCTAATGAGAACAAGACTACATAATAGATATCCAACCAGCTCGGCATTCCCCAATGATTTAAGCAACATTTTAAAAAGTGCAGTTTGATCATATTGCTGAAAGGGGAAATAGAAAATTCGTTTGCTCAAAAAAGGCACGTGTAGAGACAAATATATACTATCAGGTTTGGAAGTAAGTAAATAGCATTTCTGAGTTCTCCCATGCTCGAGTCAACAGGTTATTTTAATTTATCTTTACAGCCTGAAACCTCAAGTCCCGCTAGTTAGGAATGAATAATTATAAATGATTTTGTCATGACTAAACTATTATGACATTTTTTGTTGGACTTTTATGAAGCCCAGAACCAATTGGACTTTGGTCGAGTTAAAACCGAAGTCCTAGGAACCTTAAATGCACGAAAGAGATAAACGCAAGAGAAACCAAGCAAGTGAACTGAACTCCTGTTCTGTTGACTCTCCCAAGTCTCAGAATGTCTGCTCCTGATCAACCTTTTCCAACATCCTCAACAGGTTGCATCAATGTCTTTTGGCACGAGGGAATGCTAAGCCATGACACAGGCCGTGGCGTATTTGACACTGGGATGGACCCTGGTTTCCTGGAGGTGTTAGAAAAACACCCAGAGAATTCAGATAGGGTCAGAAACATGGTCTCAATCCTAAGGAGAGGACCCATCTCTCCTTACGTCTCTTGGCACCCTGGAAGACCTGCTAATGTACCTGAGCTTCTCTCTTTCCATTCGCAAGGTAACCTTTCTTTCTTTCCAAATACTGTTTACTTTTTCTATAATTGCCTTGGAATGGAACAAGATGTAAAATTTTTAAGGATAGGATAGAAATCTTTGGAGAAAGGTTTCATCTTTTACAGTTTTTTTGTGATTTAAGTAGTTGTGATTGATGAAATTAGTGTGATAATGTTATAAATATTTTAATTTGATATTTTCCCAGGATATGTTAATACGCTAGTTGAAGTTGACAGAAATGGGGGTAAGGAAATTTGTGGTGGAACCTTCTTGAATCCTGGTTCATTCGATGCTGCACTTCTAGCTGCTGGTACTGCGCTGTCAGCTATGAAACATATACTTGATGGCCATGGGAAACTTGCTTATGCATTGGTGAGGCCTCCAGGTCACCATGCTCAACCTACTCAAGCAGATGGGTATTGCTTTTTTAACAATGCTGGGCTTGCCGTTCAATTGGCTTTAGATTCAGGGTGTAGAAAGATTTCGGTCATAGATATTGATGTTCATTATGGCAATGGGACTGCAGAGGGGTTCTATCGGTCTGATAAAGTTCTTACAATTTCCCTTCATATGAATCATGGTTCTTGGGGTCCTTCTCATCCACAAAATGGAACGGTGGATGAGCTTGGTGAAGGGGAAGGTTTTGGGTATAATTTAAATATACCTTTGCCAAATGGAACGGGCGACAAGGGATATAAACATGCAATGATGGAGTTGGTTGTCCCAGCTGTTCAGAAGTTTGAGCCAGATATGATGGTGCTAGTGATTGGTCAAGACTCAAGTGCTGTAAGTTAATTCTTTTGTTCCTAATCTGATTTTATGAATTCATTGACTTGTTTGTATGGAGGTGCCATGTTACCCTACTGCAAATTGAAATTACCTTAAGAGTGTAGATGTATGAGACTGAAACATATTAGGGGCCTTCTGAGGGTTAAAAATCGTGCGTTAAATTTTGAAGCCACTAGTGGCATTAAAAATTACAAGAGATTATTAGCATTTCTCCTCTATCTGTTCCTGCCCCCTTCACCCACGGACTACACATGCAACCTTTCCTTTGCCAATATGAAGCAGAATGTTGTGAGCTGGAATTTTCTGAAACGCTTCAAAGTATTCTCACCTGGTTAAAGGCTTTATGGACATGTGCACATTTCAATGTTTTGAAATGTTGAGGTTCACATGTGAGTGTGATGTCCCACATCACTAAAAAGTGGGATGTAAAGGTGGCATTAACTTTTGGATTCAAGTGATGTCCAACATGCATGTATGACTCCTTTGGTGTGCTCCCATGGACTCAAGGTTTGGCTTATTTCCCCACATGAAATATTCACAGTCCAAAGCAGAACATCTGTTAGGGGTTCAGATTTAAACATAAATATAGGAAGAGATGAATCCTCCCATTGTAAAACAAGGTTCATGGTTCAATAGAGTGAAGAATAGCTTTCAAGAATGTGTTTATCATGACTCTCATCATTATTAAGCGGGGAAAATCTCTTCTCAATTTGGAAGCTGTTTTCATATCTCCTTTTACATTTTATTTATTGTCAAGTTTGTTGGTTGTTGTGATCAAGCAGACATGAAACTAGACAACACCGGAAATCCCTAAAGTAGAAGTTGTTTATCCCCTAATAAACAGAAAATCACTCTGGTATTTTGTCTTAATAAATGATGTTTGCATAAATAATTGTGTAGTTTGATCCAAATGGAAGGCAATGCTTGACAATGGATGGTTATCGAGAGATTGGGTGGATAGTTCGTAGCTTGGCAGATAAGCATAGTGGTGGGCGCCTTCTTATTGTCCAAGAAGGTGGATACCATGTCACATACTCTGCTTATTGTGTTCATGCAACGCTAGAAGGTGTGCTTAATCTTCCACTTCCTTTGTTGTCTGATCCTATTGCGTATTACCCTGAGGATGAGGCTTTTGCTGTAAAAGTTATTGAAGAAATTAAGCTGTACCAAAGGAATACTGTACCAATATTAAAGGAAGATTGATTCAGAATTTCACGGTATTTTGGCAGCTGATTTCAGGTTTGTAACTTTTAATCTTTGAGTAAACTGGAGTTTACAACTTTGCTTTTATCTGTAGCATGGGTATAGTTACATCTGCTAGTGTACAAATAAATGGCTATTTACATAAATAGAATGACATCTTTCTCTAGTAAGGACCATTGAGCATGTTGTTTTGCAACCATTTATTTATATTCATTGAACTCATACAAGTTCTCAGCAGAGATCAATCATTTTAGGTCTGATAATTTTAAACACAATACAATATGAAAAAGAAATGAAAGCCATACTATTTAAAATTTTAATAAAAACTGTATATTTAGAAACCACTGACACCATCCCTTGCACTTATATTACCAGTGAGAGAGAAAGCACTTTTAAATGTAGATTTAGAAAGTTATTTGCCAGTATCCAACACCAAGCTTCAATGTGTAAATTCTGCATAAAAGCATAGCTTCTTCGGCAATTGAAATGCCATCTCAGGCCAAGCTGGCAACCAACACAAAAAGGATAATTCAGAAAGCTACATTCAAGCTCGTCCCGCAAATCTTCTCTCTACCCTTTCAGCCACCTCCACTTTCCCATGAATCTTACAAGCTGCCAACAAAGCATTCCACAAAGCCTCATCCGTCTCCAACTCCATCCTCATCACCAACTCCTCAGCTTCCTCCACCAATCCCGCCTTCCCCAACATATCCACCATACATGTATAATGCTCCAATCCAGGCTTCACTCCAAACCTCTCTTCCATCGTCTCAAAAACCTCCTTCCCTTTTTCCACCATCCCCTCACGACTACATGTTGTCAAAACCGTAGTCAACGTCACCCCATCAACCTCCATTCCCATCCCCACCATTTTTTCAAACAAAACAAACACTTGAAACGCCATTCCAACCTTCTCATACCCTGTCATCACTGCAGACCACGATACATAACTTCTCACAGGCATTTCATCAAACACTTTCCTCGCACACTCCAATTCACCACATTTCCCATACATACTAATCAAAGAATTGTTATTCGACAAATCCGACGAATACCCATTAACCAAAACAGCTCCATGGAGCTGTCTTCCCAGCGTTACATGAGATAACTGACCGCAAGACTTGAGAACGGGAGGCAAGGTCGAAATGTCAAAGGGCTTTTGGGCAATGATCATATGGTGAAAGATGGAGAGGGATTCAGAGAGCTGGTTAAGAGAAGAGTAGGCTCTGATGAGGCAGTTGTAAAGGAAAGTGGGTTGGCGAGAAGCAAAAGAGAAGAGAATATGGGCTTCGCGCATTTGGGAACATGAGGCGTAGGCAGAAAGAAGTTTGGTTCTGATGAAGGAGTGGCTTGAAATGTCAAGGAGAATGGTTTTTGCATGGATTTGTTTGAGTTTTTGGAAGGATTTAGTCGAGGAGCATTCATCTAGGAGGGATGCGAAGAAGGGTATGGTTCTTGGACGAGCATGCATTAGCTTTAGAGATCAGAGTGAATGAGGACGAAACTGGTACTAAGGGGCTGGTCACAGTCACAATTCATACCCTGAGTTCCCCAACGATGGAAATTGGACTGTAGGTTCAATATTTGAATATTTTCGGAAATACTATAGTGACACCATGCGCTAATTTAATAAGTGATTAGATACTGTTTTTTTTTTAATGTATTCTATTTTTTTAGTATAAATTAATATATTATATTTTTTTTCGTATAAAAGATTTTAGTCTGAAAATAAGGAAAAAGATTGTAAGAATTAACTTTTAAATTTTAAACTTATTATATTTTTTTTAACGATTGCATGAACTAATTAAATTAAATCTTGAATTATGAATATATTAAAATTTGTTATTTATTCACCAAATGAATGTATTTTTTGAATTTAAGAGATAGAGATATAAAGAAATACTTAAATGAAGTTATTTAGGTAAATTTTGTAAAATTATTTACTAAAAATCATTAAATAAAAATTAAAATTAAAAATTAAAATTGATAAATTAAAAGGTCTTGTTATATAAATAAAGTGTGTAAAATTTGAAAAAATTTTAATATATTTTTTAGATATGTATTTTTAGTAAAAATTTTGATAGAATTTTTATCATTAAATAATTATTAGTTAAATTTAAATTATTAATTATATTTTTAATATTTTTTTACATATTATTGATTTTTACATTGAATTTTTTAATTTATCGATTTAAATTTTTATTTAATTTTTTATGAAATTAATTATACAAATTTTACCTAAAAAATTATATTAAAATTTTACCTAATTATTTATGAATCGAGCAACAATTTTAATTTCATGCTAGATTACAAATTAATGTTACTAATGTTTACACATATGAGATGAAAACAATTATTTTAGTTTCTTTAAAGAGTGTTTTATTCACGAAATTTTATATTTTTGGAGAAAAAGTTATTTAAGAGGAAAGTAACATTGGAGGAAAATGTGTGATTCTTGAGTTCTGTTGACTTAATATAAAATTTTTGTATTTGATTTATAAAAATGTAAGATTATTTAATAGAATATTTTACTATATGAATAACATATAACATTTATGATATTGACATATAAATAACATATGACACATGAATAACACGTAATTTTTATTGAAACTAAATAATTTAAATTTTTTTTAGCAAATATAATCTTACAATTTTAATTACTATTCTATCGTTAAATAAATGTGTTTTAGATTTTACGTGTAATAATATTAAATAAAGATATTTTACTTTTTATTTTTTTCATATTTTCAACAAACATACTTTTTATCTTAGAAAATTAATCTTTTCAACAAAAGTTAAGTTTTTATTTTAGAAACGTCGTCTATATTAAATTTTAAACAATATATTTTTCATATTTTCAACAAAGACTATATTTTTACTTTAGAAACATTATCTTTAAAAAAAATTATATTTTTTCTTAAAAATATGATCTTTATTGAATTTTGATAATATATTTTTTCATATTTTCAACCAAAACTATTTTTTATCTTAAAAACGTCATATTTTCAATAAACATTACATTTTCTATCTTGAAAACGTTAATTTTATTAAATTTTAAAAAATATATTTTTTCATATTTTCAATAAATACTATGCTTTTATATTAGAAATATTGTCTTTTCAATAAAAATTACGTTTTTTATTTTAGAAACGTTGTTTTTGTCTTCATTAAATTATAGATAATACATATTTTATGTTTTCAATAAAATATATATATTTTTATCTTAAAAATATTATCTTTTTAATAAAAACTGTGTTTTCTATCTTAGAAATGTCATCTTTTTTAATTTTAAATTTTTTTTTCATATTTATAACAAAGACTTTATTTTTATCTTAAAAATATTATCTTTTCAACAAAACTTTTTATATTAAAAATATTATATTTATTAAATTATAAAAAATAATTTTTCATATTTTTAACAAATATCAAGTTGTTTATTTTAGAAATATCTCTTTTGTTGAATTATAGAAAATATTTTTTTATCTTTTTAACAAAAATTATATTTTTAATAATAAGTTTTAATAATATTATGTTAAAAACATGATTTGTGTCTAAAATATATTTAAGAAAAAAATTATTTTCACAATATTTTATAAAAAATTTTACTATGTTTCTAAGAAAAACAATGTTATTTATATAATTTGTGAAGGCAAATGGAAAAAAATTTCGTCTTTCTTTTAAATTTTAAAAAATCTCGAAGATAAAAAGTTTTTATTCTCTACTTTTTCGTTTTTTGATACTATTAAAAATTTTAAAAATTTTCAATAATCATATTTCTATGAATCAAATTACAAAAACTAAGATTAAAAAAAAAAAAACTTTCCCCCAATCAAATACACACTTATTTTTAAAAGTAATTCTCATAAACAAAATCAAAAAATCAAATTATAAAAAAAAATTACCGGAGAAAATATTACTTCTCTCAACCAAACACTTTCTCAAAAAAGGTTGTTTTGTTGGAATTTTGTTATTGTTTATGATTAATGCACAGTGAGCTACTAATCTAATTCCTGAGTTCCTTTTCTTCAACTTTGGATTTATAGTCCTACCGAAACCCAACTTGAATTTGGTGATTCAACTTTGCGGGCTTTTAGAATGTCCCTCAGCCCAGCCATGGACAGATCATTGTGCTTATCTAAATATCTGATTCTTACCTGACATGAAAGAGAATAATTTCACCAGGGAGTCATACTAGCATCAGCAATGTCAAATCTTTGATTTCCATCATGGAGATATAGATTTGGTTGGCAAATGAAGCTTGGCTGAGGGTTAGTTATTGCGGTACTAGAAGATCAGCTGGCACCCATCCTAACCCAAATGACCAATGTCACCCTCCATTGATTCTCTTCCAATCCACAAATGTGCTACGACTACAAATGGTCATACTTGACTGTGACACTGCCGCACTGCAACTCTGATTCAGCCGCTCAAAACAATCACGTCTTTCTCTCTCTCTCTGACGTCACCATTTACCATAGAACTTGGCTACTTAGTCTTTTCTATGGAAAATGAAACTTTCATTGAAAAGAACAAACAATATAAGAGTCAAAGGGGGCACATCTTGATTCAATATATGCAACAAATTTAATTATGTGGAGGATCTCTCCTCCAGTACTCAATGGCTATTTTTGCCAGGTAATAATCCAACAGAAGGGACAGAGTTTTAAGAGACATCAACATCAATAATCTACAGTGAAGTAAGCTTAGTTTGCTTTAGGCCATAGATAACTTGACATATCCAAAGTGAAGAGCATGTTTCTCAGCTTGCGGAAGATAAATGTACAAACCATTAATGTCAAATACATTTAGATTTTCAGATTTTCATTTATATGATCAAAAGTTCATACAAACAAACAACAAAAGGATGAGAGACCATGACAAAAGTCTTTTTCATGATTGAACAAAAACCTACACCTCCAAAAGTGTAGATGAAAACCAACTATATTTATGTTATAAGCACCAACAAAACACTAAAACAAAAAAAGCTTAATTTCCTCTGCTGGGATATTTAAGGATCAGTCCGGGGCTTCTTAGGGGTACCACCATTATGGTGCAATGGCTCTGGTCCTGAAGGCACTGTCCTTAATTCCCATCCCACAAAGTTTTCTCTATTCCCTGCAGTATTGCCTGTTGATCCATGAAGTGAAGCCTTCACTACCTCATTTTTTTCCTTCAAATCAGTCTGCAGCATCTGCTAGCATGAAGAGTTTTATAAGTTTCTTTCAAGTCATGATCAAACCGAAAGGAGAAATAGGGTAACATTTTAAAACTTAATAGAATAATGAACCTTTCTAATTTGAGCTGCATTTTCATAGAAGCATCCATGGCCAGAAACACAGCGGCCTGTCAAAAAGCAACAAAGCAAAACATGAAAATGAGCTCATTGACATTAACAACAAAAACCCAAATAAGCAAATGAAATACACTTGAAGATAAATAAAGAAAGAGACCAGAAACTCCTTGCAAAACCAGCAAGCATAAGACCAGAATCAATGCCCCATTTGTGAAAACCTTTGAAGTAAATGCCGCTACCATTGTTTAGGCAAGAAATTCTTGACTGAACTAGAGAGAAGAGAGAGATGTGAAAAATAGTAGGGATGGTAGCTCCCAATTTATAGAGTGGAGCATTTGAAGGTAGAGCTCATGCAAATGATTGCATGGTGCAGCCAGTTTAGCCATTTCTGGAGAAATGATTGTAACTTTAAATATCGATATAAATTAAAAGAAAAAAACATCATCTCTCTCAATTCTGACGGCGCCGTTTCGAATGACAGTCACCATTACTTCAATCCACACGGTTCACGTAGAAGTCTGGCACTTGCCAATGCAATCGTATCTAAAAGTAAAAGATCATGATGTCATATTTTTCTCAGAATCGTTGAACTTGGAAAAACCTGACGTTTCTGAAACCTTTATTTGGGTTTTCTTAACTTTTTCCTGAGATAATAAGCAATTTGGAATAACAAAAATGCCTCCAAGCTGTATTCTTTCTGCCGTTGTAGATAAATCTTGTAATGTTAAAATGACATAATATAAAATATAAAAATTAAAAATATATATTTTATATGTGATAATAATTTTTATAATTTACATATATATATATATTTGACATAAAATAAATAAAAATAAACCAAAACCAATAAAAATTGTCAGTGTATCGTTAAATATGGTTTGGTTCAGACTAATCGTAAATGTTTATATCAAACGAGCTGTGCCTTTTATTAATCATTTTTCACAAACAATTACAGATACATCTCGCATCAGTCATCACCAATCTTACGAGAAATTATGACAAAGTACAAATCATCGTATACATACAATCAATAGCAAAACATAAATAAATAAATAAACATTATAAAATCATGAATATCTGCATCCCTACCAAAACAAAGAGGGGGAAAATGATGAAATACAATATTGTCAAATTGACTTGTTTTAGACGTCCTTAAACATTTATAGTTTAAGATTCATACGGACGAGAGATGAAATTAATTTCAATAAAATTAAAAATAATGAAAAAAGTAAAATTTATTATTGTGATATAAAATTAATTATTATAATGATCAGATTAAAACTAATAATGAGATATATTTGAATGTAAAGTAAGAATAATAATAAAATAAAAAATTTTATTAATATATTAAATTTAATTTTTTATTATATAAAAATGTTAAATTTTTAAATTTTAAGTTAATAAATAATTAAAAATTATTAAAATTAATTGTTCAATTTATTATTTATTTATTTTATATATTTATTCAATTTCTAGTTTTTTATTAATTAGTTTATCTTATATTGTAAAAAATTCTTTATTATATTAAATTAAAGAATTTATTTAAAAAATGTTAAATAAAAAAAAATGCTATGGTATGAGCACTTTTGTCTCTACACTATTGTTATGAGAAAAAAAAAGGGGGGGGGGGGGGGGAAGCATGGATATAATGGGAATCAAGGCTACGGATGAAGATTCAAAATCTTCACAGGACCTTTGAGCTCCAGTGAGAAATTGAAGCACCAGCGCGATGAAAACAGCTTCACTACACCACAGTCAAGTAATCCAAATGAAATTACAGCGAGATTGAAGGTGCCAACCGCACCACACCACAGCCAACTAGGGATCCAAATGGACCCTTAAGGTTGTAAGCCCATCTGCTTTCTTGTTCTGCCCACAAACAAGTCTCTGGATTTGAGCAAGCCAGGAACAAATCCACTGATGGTTGTAAAAGGAAATTGGGCAACAGCAGCTTTCCTTCCAAGCGAAACCAAGGCAATTTCTGAACCAGGCCCATATTTGGACATTTTGCTTTCTTTTCCTCCAGCCATCAACAGCTTCAAGTTTTTAGCAACCACCAAGGCATGTCTTTGAGCTAAATAACCTTGTTTGAGTTCCTGGATTATTGCATTGTCCAAAATGTTAGATTTTATCAATGAAGTATTAAATATTCTCTGATGGCACAAAACCCCCATTTTACTTCTCTCGCTCAAACAAACTAAAAAGATGTACAGACACATTCAATACATAAAACTGCAGATTAGAAGGTAACATCAAAAGATATCCTATATGTGAATGCAAGTAGCATTATTAAGACTTAGGACAAAGATAGCTCAGTTAATATTCGACATATTTGACATATTTTCTATTTCAACAACCACAACCGTTCAGACAGCATCAATACAAGAGTAATTGAGTATATACTGAACAACATATTAGCAAATCCACAACTTCTGATAGGGGGAACAGGCCAATACAGGCAAGTAAAAATGCACATAAATCTGTCAAGCTTGAAACTGGACTTCTTTATCCTCTTCCAGCCAAGTCAAAACTGAATATTTAAGTGCAACCACACTGGAAGAGAACAAGATAAGAGTACTGACAATAGTATATAGAGACGCCCTAACAAGTGTCAATCATACTTATTTAAAAATTTCCCCATATAAACCCTCAGAGACAGTCAAATAAGGTTTAGCAGGAAGAAAATCATTGTGGAATGTGTTTGTATTTGACGATTGTGGAACTTCAGCTGCAAAGAATTCATTACTCTTATGTCTTTGGTTTCAAAATAAACCATACTTGTGGCTGTGTTACCACGTACCAACTAGTAATGAAGCTTGCTTTTCAAACAAAAATCAAATGCTGGTCTAAGCAAATTCAATAAATATGATTAAATTTCGGGATAGGACTTACAGGAATATCAGTGATATCTCCAATTGCAAATATATTACTGCGACCCTTGACTCTCAAATACTCATCAACCATCAGCCTTCCCTTTTTATCCAAGTTAGTCTTCAATGTAGTCTCATTAAGCCACGCTGAAGCCAATGGTTTCCCTACACAAAGGAAATGGCAATCCACTTTGATGCTTTCTCCAGTTGAGGTTTGATATACTTGGCTGTCATCTGAAGTGGAATTCAAGTCAACTGCTTGCTCCAATTTTACTTCAACTTTCCTCGATCTCAGCCAACTTAAAGTCTTATCAGAAGCCTTTGCGCCAATGAACTCCAGCAACCTTGATCCCTTGTGAACCAGAGTAACCTTCTTCTCTGGAAAGTCGGTGGCAATTTCTCCCGCAAGTTCAACACCAGTTGGACCTCCTCCAACAATCAAAATAGAATGGGCAGATTGTATCTTTTGATTTTCTGTCAGCATATGGAGAATAGAATTAACTTGAAAAGAATGTAATGCAAATTTGTTCTATATTATTGAAAAAAAAAAAAAACAATAATATCATTATTTTGTTCATGTGGTTGTTCCTTAATTTATTATAGCATTATACATAACATATTGGACCCTATAATTAATGCAAAGCTTTAACAAGACTAAGGCAGACTTAGCTGTAACTTAAGACATATCGGAGCCTTATACATAGAAGTGTTGAATATTGTGTAATATTTGAAAGCTGAAGCATCATGCTCAATTACATTAAACCTAAGTGGAGTCTTCAGTAATGAATTCTGCAGCTAGAAATATACCTACAAATAACACACTTTAATTTCACAAAACATTTGCAATATGTTAATTGCCTCGACACCTCAAAGCTGTAGTTTTGATGTACTCTTTACCTGCTTGGTATTGATTAAGTCTGTCCATCTTAGTTGTGGGAACAGGATCCTTGTGTCCAGTGGCAATAACAAGATAATCATAAGCAATAAGAAAGCCATCTTCGGTCAATACTTCAGTGTCAGTGATATTTATCGCAGCAGATGTAACGACACGACCATTAGTAAGGTAATCTCTATGGTTTATCACTGATCTCTCGGCAAATGATGGCTCCACCATGTTCCTCAAGTTTGCCCATGTAATCTCTAGATACTCCTTCCTGAGATGAAAACAAACTCTTCCATTGATCACTAGGCAGTTGCTTCAATTTCTTTTTGTAAATTGACAGTCAGAATTACCAAATTCAGTTCAATCAATTGTCAGAATTACAAACTACATAGACAATTACGGGAGCTATCCATCCTACAAATAGTATATCATTTACACATAGCAAAAGTTTTTCAGGAGGAAAAATAAAATAACCCCAGAAATTCAAGGCAGCTGCTCTGCTACCTAAAATTCAGTCTGAAAATTTTTCACAAGAAATGAATTGAATTGAAGAAACAAAAACCACTTATCATTTTGAGAAAGCGAAAAAAGAAAGCATACGGGTCGATAAGGGTGACATCTGCATTGAATTGGATAGACTTTGCAAGGAGAGAGCCGGCAATCCCACCTCCAACAACCACCACCCTTCTTTTTTCTCCTCCTGATTCCATAATTTCTCCGGGTTTTTGTTTTTGCTTCAGATTCTGGAAGAAAAATTGTGCGGGTGCTGATTTTAAAGCATTAATTGATAATTCCAAGAAGTTTCTATCAAGGGGAGAATTCGTCTGTGAGGTGAGAAAGAAAGGTAACAACAACCTTCAATGTGAAGAAACAATCGTATTCTTTCCAAATTTCACATTGTTTTGAGACAACAACACAACTGTGCCATTCCAAAACATTGCTTTCTCAAAGTAACAACATAAAAAGCAAGAAAAAAAATACAAAATTAAGTTTTGATCTCTTTATTTTGGGACTTTTCGTAAACGTAGTAGAATTGGTCCAATGGATTGGGTTTGATGGGCTTTGTTATAAGTTTTTTTAATACTGGTGTCATATAGTAGCTTTGATTGGGTCCAAAGGGAAATCAAATAAGTTTAGGATTTTTCTTTTTTTTTTTACCAAATTACACTATTTTTTTTTATTATTATTATTGATACTAGAGAAAGACGAAAAAGAAATGGAAAAAGAGTTTTAAAAACAAAAAAAAAAGTGCAAAATAAAGAAGATTAAAAAGTTACACCAAAATAGTATGATTTTTTTTTTTTTTGCTAATGTTTAGAATTTTTTTCAAATTATATATTTCTTTTGTCTCAATTAAATTGTCAGAATTTACCTTTTTTTTTAAAATCTTATGACTTTGATCTCTATTATTTAAAATTTATTAAATTTTGTAAAATATATATTTAAAACCATTTCATTAAAACTTTTTTAAATTATATTTTTTCATATTTTTTCAATAATAATTTTAACCAGCAAAAATTTTAAAAATAACATATTTTTAGGAAAAAGGGAGTATATTTTAATTTTTAATTTTTTATGTAAAAAATTATTTTCATTTTTTTCAAAAATTTTCGAAAAATATCATTTTCTTATATTTTTATTTTTTATAAAATTTTTTTAATTAACAACATATCATCATTACCAGACAAGATCAATACCGTGTCAACACGTTATCTTCACGTAACACTGTTAACATGTTAATATATTATTATAATATAATTAATCAATTATAATTTTAAAAAGTTTATATTTGATATATTATTATATATTATAATTAAATAATATTATTTTATAAATAAATAAATTTTAATTTTTAAAATAAATATACAAAAATTAATATTTTTAAAAAAATTTACACATTAAAAAAATGATATCATTTGATTTATTTTATTAATAAAATAATATCATCTAATTTATTAATAATATATAAAATTTATATACTAATAATACATTAAATATAATAAATATAAGTTCAATTTTAAAATATACAACATTCATTAAACTTTTTTATGAAATTTACTTTTTTAAATAGTAAATTTTTATAAAAATTTTTTATTATTTAATAATAATAAGAGAATTACAATAAAAAAATAATTACACCCGAAATGCTCTCAAATCGATAGCCGTCAAGCGAAGGAAATATTCCCAACCTTTTGATGTTACTTGCTTTCTAGAAGCTCAAATGATCGAGTGACCAAGTACCATCACAACTACTCAAAGATGGTAATTGGCATTCTTCATTTCAAAACAGTGAAGAAATAATAAAACTCAAAAAACAAAGAAAACTGTTATTAGGTATACTTTTTTTATTATTTTAAAGGGCGAATTATTAGTAAATCTTAAATCAAGACAAACTTATATTTTCTTCCGGTCATTAAATGATTTCTAAATAAATTAATTATGAGGTTCATATCAAACTAATTTCACTGCAAGTTTTCAACAATTTTTTTTTGGAGGAGCCTTTTTACTTTTACACTTTTATTTAAATTAGATATAATAATTTTAGATACATTACAAAAATAATATAATTTAAATTTTTTAAAAAATCATAAATAATTATATAAAAAATAAAAAATATATTTCACATTTTGTTACGAATTATAATATAATAATTTTTGTACTTAAAATATATATATGAATTATTAAATTTAATTTAAATAATTTCATGAAATAAGTATCAATGCCACGTGACCTGTTTTTTATAAAAACGATCCAACTGTGAACTATACAATTTTTTCATGTTTTCTTCTGTTTTAATTTGGTGTCTTTAGCTAGTGATGTTTTTTGTCTCACTTCCCTAGTGACTCGACTGACCTTAATAATTTTTTGTCAGAAAAATAATTTTATAAAGGAAGAAAATAATTAGAAACAGCCAGTAATACATTACAGTGTAGCCATGTGAATGTGGTTGCAAATTGCAAACCTTCGCAATTGACTTTTAGTTTTGGAGGGCAGATTGGACCACCCATGTTTCCAATATCACACCAAATCCCTGGGTTTTAGGGCTTTGCCCACTTTCTCTTTCCATGGTGTTGATTTCATTTGATTGTGAATTTCGTTTTTTTTTTTTTTGTTTTAATTTTATCACCAATTTTCAATGAATATTTTCGTCAAAGATCCTATTTGCAAGTTTGGCAATCCTAGCACAAATTTTTTTATTACATATGTATTAATTACATAACAAAAATAAATTTTTTTATTTCATAAATTATATCGAATTGATAATGAATTCAAAATATGTTTAATCAAATCTAAAATTTAATTTAATTAATTGATAAGTTTTTTCAAAACATGTCATTTAATAAATATGATATTTAAATTTTAATATTCGTAATTCTTTCATTATTTTTAAACTATGATTTTTTTATATATATAAAAAAAATTATATCTTCAATATCTTAAAATTCGAACCAAAACTCGCAAAATAAAATATTAAATTCTAACTACTAGTATGCACTTGAGACAACCCTAACCAATAATTAATGTGGGGTAATTTATTTATAATCATGATTAGCTTCCTGTATTTAGGGTGATAAGAATGAAATTATATATTTTTTGTTTACACTTTTACCTTCGGTTTCTTTTTGGGGTTTTTCTCTTACTTTTTGGCAAATCTTTATCCAATGGCATGGTATCCAAGGGATTACTTCACCACTTTGATCCTTTGCTTTTTGCCTTTGTTTTCTCTTCCACTGTTATATTACCAGCCATAATGGAAAATTTTCTTTGGGTCTATATGACATAGGCCAATTTCACATATGATCTGTGGGACAAAGAAAAGATTAGACCTAAACTGAAACCCATGCATTGTCTTAACCAAGTTTTTAGAGAAATAATCATTTCAAGCTCCTGTTCTAATCAATCTTTTAGAATTTCTCCTTTTCTGTTTTTTTTTTATACAATAGTTTGCCAACACGAGAATTTTGAACCCAACACTTCCAAAAAGACCAAATACTTTGATTTCGAATAACAACTACGGAACTAAAGTGTCTCAATATAATAACTAGTACTCAATTAATCTTATTTTTAAGGGGACACTTCAATTATTAAAATTTATTTTGATTTCATTTTAAAAATAATGAGTTTGAATTTTAGGATGAGTAATGTGGGATTTATGATATAAAAAAAGTTATATTTTATTGTGCAGTCCAATGCCACATGTAAAAACAATTCAACATCCCATTTGAAGAAAAGAATTACGCGCCCAAATTTCAAAGTCATTTCAATTTATCATTGCTCAAATTAACTCTATCTCAGTAGAAAGCATTCAAGTTGACCATGTGACATTTAATTTTGATCCCCTATCATTTATGTCATTTATTTAAATGCTAGTAAATAGTTGCTAACTTGGTAAGACAACTGAGGAAGTGGAAGCCAAGAAATCAGTTGATCAAAGATAGCTAAACACCTTCATTAATTTTAGTCTACAAATCATTATAGATTTCGTATCATATTATGCAAATTGCAAAAGTAATACCTATATGCTAAGTTAATTATTTTATTTTAAAAAATTACAGTTTAGGGATAAGAAAAAAATTAATTTATTTAAGTTAATTAATCTTTCTTTCATATAATAATATATGACCATAGCAAAAATAAAAACAGTCAAACGCACTTTTTTGCGGGCAACAATTGGGTCAGCTTAGCCTTAGATCACTTCAATTGCTTTTCTCCCGTTTAAAAGGCAACGGCACATTTGTTTTGTAATTTAACCCTTATAAATTAAAACTCTTTCTATCTCTTTTTATTTTTTTTTTCGTTTTTTATGTCTCAAAATGATTTTTTTTTTCATTTTGGAACACGTTATTCTCTTATTTTTTTATATTTAAAATTTATTTTTCAAAATTTTTACTTTTTGATGATAAAAAGTATAGAAAATAAATATTAAGAAAAAAGTTAAATTTATAATATTAAATATATAAAAGTAAATTTTTTTTTCTTAATATGTTCCTAGATGATGACAAATAAAAATTACAAAAGTAATTAAACATTAATTAAATATAAAAAGGAGGAATTCATTTGTATTAATATAACTCTTATAATTTTTTGGATCATTAGATCAAAATTATTAAATTTAAAATTATTATTTTGATTTAAATGAATCATAAATTTAATTTTGATTCAAAAATTAAAAAAAAAAGGTTTCATTTATAAAAGTGAATCTCTACTCATATATAAATGTAAATAAATAAATAAATATATAAATATATATATATTTATATACATAATGAAAGTGGTAAAGAAAGTGAGGTTCTACCTTCTCATTTTTTTTTTCTTTTTGGATTCTTCATGAACCAACTTCCAACCTATTTCACCAATAGTAATCCCATAACCTTTTTTTTAATCAAAATAAAAAAATTATAATTTAAAATAAAAAATTAAGTTTTGGAATTTAAATTGATTAAATATTTTTTTAAAAAATATTATATAAATCAGTTAAATTAAATTACATTTAATTTTTTTTTTCACTTGTAGAGTGAAGAGAGAGCATGATACTATAAGCCAAAACACAACTTTGGCGACTCTGAGCATGATAATTAGCATCAAAATAAAAATAAATAAATAAATGAAACGTGGAGGGTTTCGGAGGAAACGACCCTAAATGTCAGCGTCGGTTTCCGTACCCTCACATGCGCATTTTAGCGAAGACCAGGGAATAATCCAGATCTGTTGAGCAGAGAAGACCAGCCGGACCAGTCAGAAAGCGCCATCGTGTAAAAATTAAGACACCGAGTGACCCAAACTGGCCCCCCTACCTTATGTTAAACATTCAAGAAAAAAGAAATTCCTGAGCCCAGGCTCATGATAGCACTCTTATTGGGAAGGGGGAGGCAGAGGCAATTGGGTGTAATGAAACAATGCTGCATTTTTATTTTTTATTTTTTGCAGTGATAGTATAACAGAAGAATTTACAATTATTTACTCTTATTTTTTAAAATTTTTTACAAGTATATAATACACTAATCATTGCTTTGGATTTGTCAACTCATTGGGATTTTGCAACTTGTTGGGTCAACTCTTTTCCGATTTCACGGTTTGTTTTTTTATCCATTGTGAAATATTAAAATATGAATTTTAATAAGAATGTGATTAGTTGATATAATATTAAATTTTTAATTTTAATAATTATAAATGTTTAAAAAATTAAATATAACTATTAATCTTGTTCTTGATTTTTTAATGGTAATTAATTTCAAATATAATATAATCACATGATTTAAATATACTCAAAATCAATAAAAATTTTTAAAAAATATATAACAAGAAACCATCAAACTAGCTTTCTAAACTTTTGTAATATGAACTTGAGTTTTAATTAAAATGATTCATGCATTTTGATAAATTTTAATAAATAAAAAAATTAATCTTCAATATTTATAATTTTTTTAAAAATTTTCCTAAGTCTTAATCTCTTAAGTAAAATAAAAATTGAAGGTGAACATTTTAATTGTGGCCCTTTAATGCCATAATAAATGTATATAAAAAAAATGCAACAAAAAGGGCAACCAAAAATTTTGTAATGTGAACATTTCAATTGTGGGCCTTTCGTGCCAACTACATTTATTACTCCCATTAAAATCCTTTAAAAATAAAATAAGAAAAAAGAAATATTTTAAAAAAAATCTATAACATGAAAGGGAGATTATATAGAGTGGTAGTTAAGGGTGTAAATGATACATTAGTACTCGCAAGTTATTTAGGTTTGATTTGAAGAAAATTTGAATTCGGTTCGATTATTATCGAGTCGAGCTCGAGTAATTCGACTTATCGATCTAGTCGAATTCGAGTATTCTTATATCCGGCTCGAGTAGTTCGTGAGTCTAATCGAGTTTTTATATTTAAATATATTTTTATTATTTTAATTAATAAAATATTTTAAATTCGAGTTTGAGCTCGAGTATAAATAATCGAACTCTTGTCGAGTATACGAATCGAGCTTATTTTTACATATTAATCGAGCTTAATCGAGCGAATTCGAGTAGTTCGAATTCGATCACGAATCGAGCTCGAGCTTAAAAAATAAAATTCAATCTAATTCAAGTAGAGTATCGAGCCTCGAGCCTCGAGTTGTGAGTCGAGCTCGAACTCGAGCTTCTCACTATATCGACTCGATTCGACTCGATTACACCTCTAGTCACAGCTGGTTCTATCGACATAGACTATAAGATTTTCGTAAGTATTCATTATTTGAGTTTTCTTTGAATAAAATTTAAATTTGATTTGATTATTATTGAGTCGAGTTTGAATTCAAGTAGTTCGATTCATCGATCGAATTGAATTCGAATATTTTTACATCACATTTGAATAGTTCATGAATCGAATCGAATTTTTATATTTAATTTTTTTATTATTTTAATTAATAAAATATCTAAAATCGAATTTATTTTTACATATTAATCGAACGAATTTAAATAATTTGATTTCGATTACGAATCGAGTTTAAACTAAAAAAATAAAATTCAATCGAATTTAAATCGAATACCGAACCGCGAATTGAGAATCGAACTAAAATTTAAACTTCTTATTATATCGACTCGATTGGATTCGATTATATCTTTTTTCGTAAACTCGATCTCTAGCGCTGCCGCTCTCCCAAATTAATTAATTAATTAAAAATTTAATTAAGTTTTACTCCTTTGGTTAACTACTAACCGTCTTGCTTAGTTACTTAACCGCGTCTCTTTCTCTACTAAATTCGTAACTAAAGAAAATTTCAAAAAGAATTTTCTCCATTGTTTCCTGCTATAGAGTGAAGTGAAAGAGAATGCCTTAGAGAACTCAACAGCAATGAAAAAAGGAGGAGAGGATCGTAGACGAAGATTTCGATGGCTTTGAAAATTGATTATCCTTTGAAACGATTTCGTTTATTGTTGAAGCACATTGGCAGCATTGCAATTGAGGCGAAGAATCCGGCAATGATTTCGAGATCCGGAGAAAATTTGTTTTAAGACGAAAATGAATTGATTTTTCGTTTTTTTCTTGTCTTAATTGCTCTTTTTGTTCGAAATTTTGATTTGGAGGAAAAAAAAAGATTGATTAAAGAGTTAAAAGCAATGGAGTCTCGAATGGATCATTACGAGATCATGGAACAGATCGGCCGTGGTGCTTTCGGTGCTGCCATTCTCGTTCACCACAAATCCGAGAGGAAAAAGTATTTTCTAATTTCTCACTCTTTGAATTTTTGCAATGCGTATCTATATTTTTTAATTTTTTGGTGATTTTTCCGAAAAAATTTTAGGTATGTGTTGAAGAAGATCAGATTGGCGCGGCAAACGGAGCGTTGCAGGAGATCTGCACATCAAGAAGTTAGTTTGTTCAATTTGTTTAAATAATTACAGAGTTTAATTTTCCAATTTATATTTTGGTTTGAATTTTGTGCAATATAGATGGCACTTATTGCGCGAATTCAACATCCCTATATCGTTGAATTTAAGGAAGCTTGGGTTGAGAAAGTAAGATACTGTACTTTTTTTTTGTTTCTTTTCTATGAATCTCGAATCAAAAACGAACTTTTTACTGGCAGCTTGTTAATTACATGACTGCCTTTTTTAATGTTGATTTTGAGTTTTGCAATTTTAATGCAGGGTTGCTATGTTTGCATTGTTACTGGGTACTGTGAAGGTGGAGATATGTGAGTTTCCAACCATCTATGGAGAACTTTGATTCGGAGGTTTTTGTTTTTGAATTTCTGCAAAATTTTGCATTGTGTCAATATTTTTCTTTATCTTATTCTTTTTAACAGGGCTGAATTGATGAAAAAGTCAAATGGGGTCTATTTCCCAGAGGAGGTATCCTAATTTCTCTATACCTTTTCATTTTATATGTTAGTTTCTTCTTGGGTATGATTTGCAGTTAACAATGATGTTTATGAATATTGTATAGAAACTTTGCAAGTGGTTTGCACAACTACTTCTGGCAGTTGAATATCTGCATTTAAAATTTGTTCTGCATCGCGACCTAAAGGTATGTGTGTAAATTTAGTTTAGTCTTTTTTAGTAACTTAATGTTTATGGACTGATTTTGGTACTATCTTGGCAGTGTTCCAACATCTTTCTTACCAAAGATCAAGATGTCCGCCTTGGTGAGTTTGTCTTTTCCCTTTTCTTCTTGGTTACTTACAGGTTCTCTCTTCTTTCCCTTTTGCTTCATCATTGAGTTATATTAGATATCCCATTTGATTGCATATGTTGTTATTTTTATCCTAAACTTCCTTTCTGGTCTATGCTGTTTTAGGGGATTTTGGACTTGCCAAAACTCTGAAGGCAGATGATTTGGCTTCCTCGGTATGTACTATGTAATGAAATGATTTTCACTAACCTTTTTTTTAATCCTTTTCAACCATCTCCAAGGATGGGAAAAAATTTTTAGTGGTCTTTTTTTTTTCTGCCATTTTTCTTCTTTTTCTTCCTACACTTGGTTAATAAGCTTATGCTATTTAGCTCGAGTAAAGAGATGTGTGTTATTATTTGCCTCTGTTTGCACATGCCTCAACTTCTCTATACATTATGCAAAAATCTTGAATGGTAGCATGGTACTTGTAAAGTAGCTTATTGATTTCATATTCCACACTATCAAGCTTGGCTTTCACGGTCTAATATGTTTAGAAACTGATAGAGTAGACAAATAATAAGATGTGTTAAAATGAACGGGCATAATGTGTGCCACAGCTTGTAGTTAAACTTAATGCTAATTTTAATTTTGTCTGCTGAGAGCAAATTGTTAATAATTGCCAAGTGAAAATTATAATAAGACCAACTAATTTAACATAAATAATAATCTTTTTCTTCAAGAAAAAAATTAAAAGCAAAAAGATCTCTTATTGATACCTTAATGTTTTCTGGGTGGATGACTCAATTGCTAAGAAATTGAGAATATATACATTTATGCAACTTCTTGGTAGTTTGTCAGAGCAGGCTTATATTTGACGATAGGAGAGAGATTTATTTAAATTTTTGAATGGTCTTGTATTAATAATTTAACTTAAAAGAAGCTAAAATTTGCAAAAGGATTACGTTTTGGAGTGCTAGATATGTGTTATCCATCATAATTGTCCAAAGACATTAGTTTTGTCTATAACATTATCTATTGGTTTACATTTGCAGTCATTTGCCTTTGATATAATTTTGCATTTTCGTAGTTATTCTTCCTTATATAAGAATGTGCCAACCATTTGTCGTTCTAGTGCAAGTTAATAGTTGTTTTCTACATGGCTCAGGTGGTTGGAACTCCCAATTACATGTGTCCTGAACTGCTTGCAGATATTCCTTATGGTTTCAAGTCTGATATCTGGTCTCTAGGTATGTCTCTATATATTTTGACAGGTGTAGATCTTTTCTTTTTGGCTAAATTTCTTCTTGTTGAACAGGGTGCTGTATGTACGAGATGGCTGCTCATCGCCCTGCTTTTAAAGCTTTTGTAAGAGTTCTCACAGTTCTTTTGGTTGAATCTGTTTCTTGTATTCTATAATGAGCTTAAAGCAATACTTCTTTTTAGGTGAAATTTATATCCTATTTTGGCAAGAGTGTAGCTCATTTGATATTATGTTAAACAAGGATATTGCAAAATTTTTAATTTTCTTTTTCTTCCTTTTATCTTTTTGTGGAATTTTCTATATTGCCAAATGTGACAAAACTTTGTTTATCTGAATTAGGAATAAGTGGTAGAAATTTCCAGGTTCATAACAGTTGTCCATGTATTCCATGCTCCACTTTTTTCAAACATCCTTTCAAAGTACTTAATGTTTTCTACTTGTCTAATATGATGTGATGTCCTTAGAGGTTTTCTGCACCTGCTAATTTTATGCCTCCACTAACCATGTAAATTATACAAATTTAATTCAACTAATTTCTATCAATCGTCTTGTTCTAGGACATGGCAGGGTTGATAAGCAAGATAAACCGAACCTCTATTGGCCCTTTGCCTTCTTGTTACTCTCCATCCTTGTAAGTCTTAATATGCATTTTAGAGCTTGTTGTTTTTGTATTTTTTCATGATGACCGAGTAACTGCTACTGCTGTGCAATATGACTACATTTTGTTTCTTGGAAACTATTTTTTTCCCTCTATAAAGCACAAAATAGTTAATTTTGATTTTAGATCCCAAGGGAATCATTAATCTGTATTTGGGTAGTAACACCCAACATGTTTAATGCTTTATCACTTGTCAAGTAATTAACTCTTCACTACATGATAGTTAATTTGTTTAATGTTATACACACAGGAAAACACTTATCAAGGGCATGCTAAGAAAGAATCCAGAGCATCGACCAAGTGTAAGAGGTTTTTTTTGCCCAACTCTAAGAATTCTCCACGTGCTGGAATTAAATATAACAATTTGAATTGTCACCTTGTTTAGGTATCAGAGCTTTTGAAGCACCCTTATTTGCTGCCATATGTTGATCAGTATCGTCCATCCTTCAGTTGCCCTTCAACAATTTGCTCCCGGGATAAGCATATTTCCACTGGTCGTGATAATAGCAAAAACATGGCTGAGAGTCAGTATAGTAATAGCTCATGTAGTGATAAAGATAGTTCGCTTTCAAGTGACAGAAATACTGTCACAATGGTTTCAAATACCAATGGTAAGACCACTGACACAGATTCAATTTCTAATGATGATGAAGATGCCACTGAGCACCCGCCACTGACACAGAATGGCCCCATCATTTTCACTGGCGAAGTTAATGAAAAAGGAATGATGAAACCTTCTTATGCAGAACAGGGATCTAATGTTCAATCAAAGCAACCAAAATCCATCAAAAGTATAATGGTAGCTTTGAAAGAAGGGAAAGTAAGAGAAAATGGTTCCCCAATGAGAGGCAGCCGTACAAAAGCTGTAGGTGGATTGACTCAAAGAAATAATGTAGAGGCATCACCCAAAGTTCTTAAACCACCTGCTCCCACCCTGGGTTTGAAGTGTAATGTAGATACCACAACTGTTGCTTCAGCAAGATTACCATCAGATTCTGCAAAAAGAATACAAGGATCACACCATTTGAGGCACCAGGTATGACTGCCACTTAGTGGTTCTATTTTAATTTAATTCATTATTGGTTTCCTCACTTATTTTACTAGGTGCATCTCTCCAGTTACCTTTAATTGAATCCTCCCCAAAGACTAAACCTAGACATGAAGGGATTCCTCCCCCTGTGCCTGGAAAGCATGTTGCTGAAGATGGACTATCATCTAAGCCAAGGCAAAGTACTCCTTCCATTGTTGCAAGAAGATCATCGATTACAGGAAGGATGAAGCATGCAGGAACTGATGCTTCAAATGTGGCAAGTAACATACCAAAGTTAGTATCTACAGAGAGAAACCAGGAGCATGAAGCTATTCCTCGTCAACTGCCTAATGGTTGCCTTTCAGATGTTTCTAGGGATGTTACACAAGAGGCTGAGCTAGCTTTAATTGTAGCTACTAATGGGGTGCAAACAGATAGCAGCAATTCTGTCTCATCTTCAATCTCATTTCAGGCATTTGAGATTTGTGATGATGCAACAACCTCTTTTATTGACTTGACTGAACAGACACATTATAATGAGATAATCAATCACATCAAGAGTTTGGAATCGCATCCACCATCCAGCTCTCCTGCTACTCTGCAATCAGATATGCCTGAGGTTCTGTTGAGAGAAAGCCATGGGAATGATCATAAATCTGTTGTGTGTTCAACCGAAGAATCTGATCCAACCCAGGATCTTCTGCATTTCACTTCAGTTGATGCAAAAGTGAGTTTGAATGCCCCTTTCGACCTTCCAGTCCTCAGTTCAGAAGAAATGTATGTTCATAAAGATGATATTGCTGTAAGCAAGACGATGAGTATGGATGATGCTCCTTTAAGCAGGACAAATAGTAGGAATGATGCTGCTCATTTAAGCAGGAGTAGTAGGGATGATGCACCTATAAACAGGCCAATCAGTAGGGATGATGCCCTTGTAAGTGGGCCAACTACTGGGGAAGATTGCCCCACAAGCAGGCCAAGTAGTATTGATGAAACTGTGGCAAGCAGATCTAGTAATAGGCATGATATGATGCTCCTTTCAACTCTTTCTTCTGCGTCCAGTGGTGATGACAAGTTCACTGTAATGGAACTTCTCTCATCAGTTGCAGAAACTATGCCTAGCATTGGCTCACCAATTTCATCTAGCCAGAAGAACTCACAGCCAGATAAAGGAACAAACTTGCATAATCCAACCATTGAAAAGCCACCTGCAACCTCTGATCCTTCAGCTTTTGATGATGTTATACATGTTATAAGGCACAGTAGCTTCCATGTTGGAAGTAAGCAGCCAGTGATGGAAAAAGTAGAAATGGGTGTTCAAAATGTGGATGTTGGGAAACTTAAAAATGTTGTGAGCGATGAATTAGATATGAGAAACATGAATAGTCCAGTGACCGTTAAGTCATCAAGTTGTTCTGAAGCTTTAAGTTCAAAATCAAATGTTTCGGATTACTCTGCTGTTAAAGAAATGGATGTTAGGAACTACATTTCTTCATCTCCAAATTCTGATTCACCAGAGTCTGCGAATTCCAGCTCTTCTGTGATGGAAGAGGAGACACCAGCAAAGGAAACTTTGGATGTCAAGTCTTTTAGGCAAAGGGCAGAGGCACTCGAAGGGCTCCTAGAATTGTCTGCAGAGTTACTGCAACAGAACAGATTGGAAGAGCTCTCTGTTGTTTTGAAGCCTTTTGGGAAAGATAAGGTGTCTCCAAGGGAGACAGCTATCTGGTTAGCCAAGAGTCTGAAAGGAATGATGATTGAAGACTGTGGACGAAGTTCATGAAGTATTATTCGTGGGGTAAGCCTTCTTTTTTTTTTTTCCCTCATTTATTCACATTGTTGTTGTAATCGTTAGCTTCTTCATTATCAAGCTTATCTCCTTTCACTTCCATTTGAATTTTTAAACAGAACAAGCAGGTCGTCATTTCTCCTCATTCTGTAATTCTTTCATGCATTTTGTTGTTGTACATAGTTGATAATCGAAATTAGGTGAACTTGTTGTCCAGACACATCTGGATGTGCTACAGAACATGCTGAATCCAAAACAAAGTGGAATTGCTATGATTTTGTCGGTTGTTTGAATCTACATGGCATTGCAATGCACAATAGATCCCTGGATTGTCTGTCAGATGCATAATAGGCATCTCTTCCCCATGGTAGTGTTACCATTGTAAGCAATATATAAAGTTTTCTTTTCTATCAAATCTACTACTATATTTCCAGATAGAACAAAAAATCAAATCAAAACAGTGTGATTATGAACCTAAACTTGTCTTTCTCAAATATAAATAAATAGTACAGATTAAAAGAGTTTAAAAAGTCTTAGGGAAAAAAATTGTGAACAATACTAAAAGGTCGCACGTACAATACATGCTAGTCCACATGCATAATTCACATCTCAGACAGGTTTCTAGCTGTAAGTGAACTTAGAACTTAGGAGGCTTCCCCTCCAGCAACGCTCTCAAGAACCCGCACTGGGAACCTAGCTTAAATTTCGTCTATATTTAATAAGCAGGATTCAATTAACACCAAGCTGTCAATGGGATCAGAAGCCATAAACAGTCAATCCTCCTCCATAGGTACATCTGGAATATCAAACCTGTCTTCCTCAGTAGTTTTATTGATCACAGAAACAGGAGATGGTAATATCAAGTCAATGAAACAAGAAATTGAATCCTCTCTCCTCAGACAAACCACAGAGAAAAACAGAAATCCAACACGATTTTCCACAGTCAAAACATTGCATTATACATTCTTTAATTAACATGGACACGTCTTTATATTTATAATTAATAACAACAGCAAGAAGGTAAGCCTTATATCCCATAATTCTAGAATTGTATGAAAAGTTAAAAAAAAAAAAAAAAGGAATCATATCAAGTCATAGTTATATACCATAACCCTGAAGTCGTCTTCATACATGTAATCAATATTAACATTAAATTACGTATATGTGATTAAATGCATGCAGGTAATGATGATCGGAGACAGATATAAGCATCTTTATATGAGAAATGAAGAAATCCATTTGTATTACTAGTTTCTGCCTTTTTGTTTAGCACAAAACATTAATATTAAACGAGCATCCAATCTTCAAATGTGTACAGTTAATTCCTGCTTTAAATTTGAACTAATGCATGTCAATTCTCAGATCTTCTCCCCTTTGATAAAGTGTTAAAACAACTTACAACCTACATTATGACATCTTGCTTTCTAATGCATTACAAGACAATTTTATACGTTTTCCTACTGATTTATCTTTTTCTCAAACATGTTACAAATAGATGACATCTTTTAAATACCAAAGAGTGAATAAAATAAATTATAAATGAGCACCATTACCTCATCAAAGGGACAAAAATCTGCAAGAAAATTCTTGAATTCAAAAACATGAAAAAGGAAATGAACACTTGAAAAGAAAAGGATATCTATAAGGATAAGGTCATCCTCCTCCTCACCACGATTGTGGCTGTCATCTAGCTCCCTTATAATTTCGGGAGTAACCTATATTAAGAAGGGCACAGGGATCATTGATTGTCCAAAATGGAACGGGAAGAAAGTTAAAAAGTAGCCAATCAGTTATATGTGACTGTGTCAGTGAGTAAGTGTATGCGTGTTGTGTTTGAGAGAGTGAAGGAAGGACTTACTAATTTATGCTTTTGCATCTCAAGTAGAATTCTAAGGTTATTTTTATCTTCCTTGTATAAACATGTGAAGGACAAACCAACAGCAAGTCATTTTGCTGCAACTAATTATACTAAAAGCATATTAAGCCCCAAGTAATCGGGCATCTATTAAATCCTTTTCACCCATTTCCAAAGAAAGGTATCACATAATACATTCAGCTGTCTTAATTATTAAAAAACACATTAGAATGAAATACTAAAGAGCATACTAAAAATTCCTTCAGAAAGATAAACTTTTTATAACTTTTAACTCCTGAGACATCTAACTTTGAAGTACCCCTTAATTTTTTTTAGGAAAAAGATAAATCCTCATAAAGTGCACAGCAAAAAAAATAAAAAAAGGTCCACATGGATACGTATTGATTCATCAGTTCAAAGTGCAGAAAAGAAATATATATCACTTGCACCCTCTTATTTTCACAGTTACTAAATTACAGAAGGAAATCAATAAATCACATTTAGTGATCCATCAGTAACTAAACTCAACTACATACACACACACACCCAACACACACACATAATATTAACCTAAAATGGAAAAGAAAATCAAGAAAAAAAATGAGGAATATGGACAAGCAACAATCAAATCGTCAATTGAGTAAAATGATGACTGAAACAATATCTCGGCCTTTGATTTCAATATACCTCAATGCTCTTCCTCAATGAAGAGTCACTAATGAAATGTCTCCTCACTTTCTTAAACGAACATAGGTCTCCTTCCAAAAACTTCTACAGAACCATTAACAACAAAGGCAGATCAAGAAATTTAAAAGTGTCTGCAAAACAAAAATACCATATAAACATGTGATGCCAAGTATGGCAGAGCCAGCAGTGTCATTATTCTTTTCCCTAATTTGTTTCAATCAGAAAAGTAAAACTAGGAATAAAGTGAGTGATGCTTGACATAATGATTTCCTCAGCAAAAGCCTATGATTTATCTTATATCTCATAGTTGCAATTTGATGCATATTAAATAAAATGAGAAATGAATGATATACCAAAGAGGCAAGACAATGTCTCCAACAAATTTTTCTACCTTTTTACAAATGCCAGAAGTGACTGATGCCATATTAGAGGCATAATCCTTGTATCCTCAAGAAATCTCATAAAATGAGCAATAACTGCATCAACAACATGATATGGCAGAGCATATTTCTTCTCCAAAAGAAGCTTTATAAAATAACTGCAACAATTTTACCAACAAAACATTAAACAGTATGTAAGAAAAGGCACAAAAGGAAAAAAAAAATGAACTGCTACTCACTAGATTGGTGATCCTTATCTAATGAAATGCAAGAGAAGAACATATACAACAAGAGAATCAGGTCATGGAAACCATTAACCTTAAAACATGTTAAAACTTTCCGTTTACCCCTACCACCCACGCTTCTGCTTCTAAAAGAGTGTGTTTCTGTGAGAGATATATATATATATATATATATAGAGAGAGAGAGAGAGAGAGAGAGGCAATAAAGAAGAAACATCAAAACAAAACATTAGAATACCTTGTTGTGCCACAATATTCCATTTCCGCAAGCTTCATTAATGCAACACTGCAATTCCATTTACAAATTAGAAGTCCTCATCATCTGAATTTAAACAATTGGAATGAAAAATTCCAGCAGCCTTAGAGAGAAATGAAATAAATCCGCCATGTTCAGATCATCAATTTCATCAAAAATATTAAATAAGCAATCATCTTGCTTTTAAAGATTCACAAACCCACCCACCCATACCCCCACCTTTTCATTACATTTCTTTTCAAAAAGAGAACCAATAACTATAATGATAAAAACTAATTTTAAATGATTCTTCCCGCAAAGAATAGTATTTCATTTTTCACCAGAGAACTGCGGGTTTTTCTACATTTTTTTGCCAAAGCCAGTTGCACCAATCCTCACTACTCACTAGCAAACTCCTGTTCAGCCTGCTTATATTTTGATTCTTCTTTAGGCATAAGTAAAAGATATACCTTCCTTCATCTTTGCACATTGTCTCAACAAAGATCCAATTAAAACGTTAAAACAACCTTCCCTAAGTGTCATATAACTAAAGCCACCACTAAAATACCTTGAGTGAAGCATTGGAATGGAAACTTTTGAAGAACACTCCCAATAACATCTGCCTCCCTGAGATTGCATGTCCTCGACTGAAAAAGAACAGGAAAAAAGAATTCTATCATACAGTTCTAATTTCCAAGACTTAATGCTCTAAAGACCACCTTGCATACACTGCAAGTGGAGCATTTGTCATAACATTGAAAAAGTAAACTTATAAAAATAAAAATATAATGAAAATGAAGCAAAAATCATGGGGCTGTGTTATATCTGAAAGAGAACAACTTGAGGTTAAAGGCTGACAGTAATAGCAGTAAAAGCGAATGCACAATGAAACCTTCAATCAGTTAATGAAGACAAGGAATATTAGATTTGGTCAAGTAGAAAAGTAACCTAGATGTTAACCTTTCATTGTGCCAAGCAGAAAGTTGTATACCTTACACAATGGAAAAAATATTCCTTTGTTGAATGCAGCAGGTTTGTATAGAGACTTCTTCAAAGACTGATAAAGAGCAAAATGAAGTCACTTATTCTTCTGAATATCATCTCTAACACGTGGAAGCAAGACTAGCCTATAAAAACGCTTTGCCTTCTTAGCACCCAAATTTGAAGCAAATATTCTTGTGGCTTGAAACATTGCATTTGGAGACCAATTCTCAGTTTCAGTCAAGTACAAAACATCCTCCCACATTTGCATTGAAGGAATATGTTTAAAGGCTTTAGGCATTTTCCCTGCTGTGAATTTGTTCCGAAACTTGCTAACTCTGCACATTCAGTTCACATCACAATTTTAAGGCTTCCACATTCTTTAATATACGCAAAAGATCTTACATGCAAAAGGATAGGAATATTACCCCTTATACAAATCTATGAGGGAGTCATCCATCATAGGCAAAGGTCTTGTTTCTGCAATTAAACAAACTGAACAATCAAACACCATTACTCGTGAGTTAAATTCTTTCATAATATCAATAAATTAAATCAACCCAAAAAAACTAATTTAAAAAGTTACCTGAAGCAACGTTTGCATCATTCTCCTTGATCTTTTGAGTTATGATGTCTGCAAGCGTCCTTTGTGGACCAGTATCCTCAGATAAGACCGCCTCCAGCAATTTCTCATCCTCCTCATCAATCTCCTCCTATAACATAAAATAAACAACAGTGGTTTCAACTTTTCCAGAATAATTGCAATAATTTGCAAATTGCAAAGCAAAAACAGACTTATGATTTTCCCAATAAACTAACAGATTTATGATTTTCCCAATAAACTAAGGCTCCGTTTAGTTGTTACTTTTTCGACTTGATTTCTACTACTTTCTATTTCATTTGAAAATAGCTAAAAAGTAAAATCATATCATTTGATTAAAAATGAGTCAATAGTGAAATTGTAACAAAATTACACATCTTTTCTACATTAAAATTAAAACTTTAATTCAAAAACATCATTTTCATATTTGTAGAATCAAAAGGAAAAAGTAACAATGAAGCCTAAAAAAATATGATCAGATAAAATGTACTTAATTCATAGTTACCAAATTGACTTTGAGTCTCAGAAAATCCACCAAATCGTCAATATCCTCGTCGTCTTCTTGCTTGTTATGCTCTTCTTCAACCGCACCAAACGCGTTCTTGACGTTCCATCCTGAGGCTTCCTCTTCTATTTCCTTCTGTTGAAGAAGCGTTTCTTTCAAGATTTTCGAACTCATACCTGACGAAATCATCTGAAACGAAAAAAAAAAAAAGCAAATAAGAAAATATTAAAAAAAAGAGTAAAAATCGAAAAGCTATAGAAGAATTAAAAAAAAAAGAAAGAAAGAAACCCGCTTAATTTTATTTTGCCTTGCTTTTGGTGGTGTTTGGGAGCTTTGGAGCGTTTCTTTGTAGAGGCGGCGGAATCGTCATCTGCTAGAAACGGTTGGGTAGTTTGGTTTCGTTCTCTTTTGTTCTTCGCCATTGAAGGGCTGCGATTTACAGTAAAAAAAAAAATACAAATAAAAATTTGACGTTTAGAAGAGATTAAAAAAAAAATACAAATAAAAATTTGACGTTTAGAAGAGATTCAGAGGGATGAGGCGGCTATGCCAAACGCCGCTAGGAAGAGGGAGGAGATTTTAGTGCCAGATGGTGGCAATTTTGTAATTAAATAAATTAGATTTTCTTCCCAGCAAAATGGGTCTTGAAGAGCTTTTAAAGCCCAAAAAACTAATGGCATCTTCTGGGCCTAAACGGCCCAAAAGAAATAAATATCCAAGTCTTTTAAATATTTTCCAAAAGTGATGAATAATTAAAATCTTTCATTAATTACAACATAAATAAATATCCATAAACTTTTATACATTTTTTGAGAATTTTTTATTAATCCACTTAAACCTCTTTTATTTCGTAAATTTTATATTTTTCATGTTAAATTCGAATAAAATATAATATCTTTTGTATGAAATAATTTTTGTTTTATTAATCTCATTTCATTGCATTTTAAAATTTTTTTTATATGTAATATAAAAATTAAATCTTGATTATTAAAATAAAAAAATTAATATTTTATTGATATAATCAAAATTTTTAGATAAAATTTTAAGTTCATGTATTTATTTTTTATTTTAAAAAATAATTTCAATCTTATTTTTAAACTAAATATTAGATATATCATATCAATTTAATTTTCACATCATATGTAAATTTTATATAATGATGATATCATTCTCGTGAATTAATAGTGATACTAATATTATATACAATTTTAAAAAATATTTTAAAATTTAATCCTAATTTAAATAACAAACATAGCTAAATCATTATAAAATCAATTTTTTTATTATGCTTTTATTATATACTTTTTCATCCCACATTTATGTCTTTTCTACGGAAGAAAGACGTTACCAAGAACTTTCTACATATTTTTTGACCCATATCAACAAATCTTCACCTTTGCTTAGCCAAGTCAAATTCTGTCAATTAACCCATTAAGTAATCCATTTATTTTTCTTAAATTTAAAATCCTTCTTTTTAGGAGTAGTATATTTATTCACCTCATTGATTCCCCATTCGACTGTTTCCAAGCAAAGCAAAGAGCAAATCCTTTTTCTTTTTGGAAAAACAAATGCAAGACTCTTCCAGACCTGTAACTGGTCACCCAGTTCAGAACGTTAATGGCTACGCTCCTCCACCACCCGCCACTTCGGCCACCGCCTACCCTTACGCTAGCTCCAACCCATATCCTTACTACCCAGCACCGGTTCCTCAAAATCCCCGTCCCACCTTCTTTCGCCGCCTATTTGTCGCCTTTGCCATCTTCTTTATCATCTTCGGTACCATCCTCCTCATCTTGTGGCTCGTCCTCCGCCCCCGCCTCCCCGATTTCTCCTTACAATCCCTCTCTCTCTCCAATTTCAATGCCTCCAACCAGCGCGTGAGCGCCGCCTGGAACGCCCAATTCCAGGTCTCGAATCCCAACAAGAAACTGTCCATCTCATACGGAGACATTGTTTCGTCGGTTTACCACGATGATTATTTTTTGACTGAGACGAGGATTGGGCCGTTCGTGCAGGGCACGCGCGACGTGAGCACGGTGGAGGCGAGTTACTCGGTGGTGGATTCTTTCGTGGATGGGAAGGTGGTGGATGCTATGAATGGGGAGAGGACTCGTGGCGGGATCAAGTTCAACGTCAGGGTGGTGGCGGACGTGGCGTTTCGGTATGGTGGGTGGAGAGGAAGGCGGAGGTTTCTTAGGGTTTGGTGTAATGACGTGGCGCTTACTGGCTTGTCGGGGAAGATGACTGGAGGGCCCAAAAAATGCAGCGTTGGTTGATTTACAGTGAGTTTTAACTTCAATTTCTTTCTTTTCCCTTTTAGTAGTTGTTAAATTTTATTGCCATAAAATGAAGGGTGGCCGGCTCTTGCTGACTTGTTCCAAACGTGAAAAGTTTATACTTGCTTTGTTAGTTGGCAGAAGTGTCTGTAGGGTACTTTGTTCATGGTGGCCTGATGATACCACTGGTCCTAATAGACCTGATTAAACAGTCATATACTGTGATTAGGCGCTGTAACTTTTTATCTTAGGCTATTAATTGGGGACATTTTAGGATTAATGGGGAGTTGAGTTTTTCTTTCTAGCAGTTAATCTGGTGGATAGAGGATTTGACTGTGCGTCCTCATGTTTTCAGTGGACAGCAGTACACCATGTTAATTATCTGTCAGTGAATTGGTAAAGTTAGATACGATGACATAATATAAAAATAATATTAAAAAAAAAAAGCTGGAAGATTTAAAGTTTTGACAAATTCGTATATGTTTGGTGCCAATGCATGAATTGCCAAGTCTGCCTACTTACTCATTCTGATCTGGCTTGGCCAATTCAATGCTGTTCTTATCTACTTTTCTTCTGCCTATTTGTTGAACCCTGTCTTGAATTCCATGTTTGTTGAGTAGTAATTTTATTTTTCTGATGGTCTTTGAACACTCCTCCATCTGAGTATGCAAATTGGTGGGTTCCAAGCTCCTTTTTTCATCTGTTTTGTTTTGGATAGGAAACCGGATTTAAAGTAATGTGTCAATCTCAAACTGACTTACAAACAAACTTTGTGACTTTTACCAAGAACATTTTGCAGTCTGGTTGTTATTTGCCTTAAGAATAAGACAGTAGTTATCATCTTGACGTGTGCAGTTCTTTATACCAATCATTAGTTGTGCGAATGCTTAGTTGTTTCAACGCTGATGTGTACAATGTTTCTTAGATTTTGTCTCTGTAGATACCTAGTTTCAAATCTTTTTGATACACTTAAATCTTTCCTTATAATTAATGCTAGAAACAGTTTATGCATCTATGCTTTTCTTCTCAATTTTAGCTGTACTCTCTTACATGGTTTTCACTGCTTGACAGTCCATATCTTCTTCTAGGTTTGGAGTGTATTGTTTCCTTTTGATCAAGTCCACTCTTTGGTCACTTCTGTAATAGTTTACTTCACATTTTATGTTGGGTGTTAATGCTCCTTTGCATTTAGCTCACTTTTGCATCGAATTCGTCTCAGGGACTAGAGATGTAAATCAGATGTCACTGGTAGTTTAGTTCATAAAACTTATGGGGTGATGGCGGATGTGCCATCTGTATTTCATTTTTCAGTAATGTTTATATGCCATTCATTTTTGGTATCACATCTTTCATCCATGATCCACCCGATGCTGTTCAGCTTTTGCTTTTGATTTTGCAGGAGAAGATGGCTAAGAGAAGGCTCACTATTGTAAACCTTATTGCACAGGCTTTTCCTTCATGCTCAATGGTTAAAGGGGACGAGAAGAAAAGAAAAGAAGAACAAATAGTTACAAAATGAAACCTCCATAATTTTATTTCATGTGTTAATATGAATGAAAATATATTTTTAGAGAAATTATCAATACATTAACAGTAAAATTTTCTAATTTCATAAGTAAGATTAAGATGATAACACATGTCCTTAGTGTGTACTTAAAAAATAAAAAAATTAATTTAAAAAAGTGAGACATGTGTCATCATTTTAATTTATAGGGTTTTCTAGGTGTTCTATGTCTATTTTCCTTATCATTATTATTTGTTTACCAACTGGTGTTCTATTGTAAAATGTTAAAAAAATTCGAATGAGCTGGACGATTGACCCAATAAACATACGAGAGACTAGAGACCACTTTTCAATTGCAAAAGCCCTTTGCTTCACTAAGGTAGATGAGGTTGGGCTTATTGTGAAGTTCTTTACTCGAAACTGTATAATTTTAAATCCATAATTTGGCAACAATTATTATTCTTTCATGTTGGCTGTACTCACCAAACAGGTTTAATGAAAAAGTGGCAAAGGAGGTTGATGAAAAATGCTTTGTGGTTTAATTGTAATAGAAAAGCTTATTCGACGCCAAGGCTAAAATCGAATCTTTTCGTGGTCGTTTTCACTTTTCACAGCTTATAAATTATTCCGACTTCTTTGAACAGGCATTTTCGATCAACTTACCTTTAGACCCATATTAATAATCATAATTTAAATTAATTAGAAGAGATATAATTAATCATTTTTGGAAGTGGCCGGTCCAATCTTTAAAGAAAATAATCACAGGTCCACTAAAACTGATTGACATATTTATGTGCTATATATAAAAACTACCCCTAAAGGATAGTATACTGACATGTAGCAAGCCATTGCTTGCTATTTGTTATTTTTTTATTTTTTTATTTGTTTCAAATATTTTTAAAAGTTAATATGTTATGAATCCTTTATTTATCATGTGAAAATTTTAAAATAAAAAATTTCAAAAAAGTTATTTACTTAATTATAATTATAATAAAAAATAATAAAAGTTGACTATAAAGATGATGATACGTTGTTGGCAATTATAATGCCCTCAAATACTTCTGCAAAGAAAAAAAAACAAACACTTAGATAATAAAAAGTCCATAAAAATATATCTAACTTATAAAAAAAAAATCAACTTTCAAAATTTTAAAACTAACCAACATATTAAATTTCAATTACTTATTAAGATAAAAAAAATTGCAACTAAAAATAATCAATTGAAAAAACAATCTACAAGAAAATCAACTAAAAGATCTCACAAACAATAATAAAAATTCTTTAAAAATTATAATATCTAAAATTTAAATATTTTTTAAAAATGTCTTTTAAAAACAAAAATATATAATTTAAAAACTAAAAATATTAGATTTGAGATTTTTTAATAAATTACAAAAAAAAAAAATTAACAACAACCAATCAATTCAAATAACCATATAAAAAACTCTAGATATAAGATTTTTATATTTTTAATCGAAAATAATTTTAAAATTTTAAAACTAAAAAATTAAAAAATTTAAATTATTTTTTATAAAAATTAAAAAATCCCCACCAAAGCAGAGGTAACGTTCTAGTGTCCATAACAATGCTCTATATATGGTTATTAATCCTTCATTCCTTTGAAAGTTGAAACCCCTTCATCCGAAGGTAACAAAAAAAAAACATTTTAATTTAAAGCATAACATAATAATATGATATAAAAATAATATAAATTAAATTTTAACTAAAATTAAAAAATATTTTATATTTTTATATGCCAATATAAATTATGATACAAATTATTATATCAAAATTCATAGATATCAAAACTACCATAAAACCAACAATTTCAAGATTCTTAGCTTCTTTTAGGAAGTCAAGTTATTGTTTGTAATAAATGTGTAAATGATACATTAGTACTCGTAAATTATTCGGGTTCGATTTGAAGAAAATTCGAATTCAGTTCGATTATTATCGAGTCAAGCTCGAGTTCGAATAACTCGACTTATCGATCGAGCCAAATTCGAGTATTCTTATATCCGATTTAAGTAACTCGCGAGCCTAATCGAGCTTTTATATTTAAATATATTTTTATTATTTTAATTAATAAAATATTTTGAGTCTGAATTCGAACATAAATAATCGAACTCTTATCGAATATACGAATCGAACTTATTTTTACATATTAATCGAGCGAGCTCGAATAGCTCGAATTTGATCACGAATCGAACTAAAATTTGAAAAATAAAATTCGATCGAGCTTGAACTGAATATCGAATCCTGAATTATGAATCGAATTCAAACTTGAATTTTTTATTATATCAACTCAATTTAATTCGATTATACCCTTAATTTATAAAGACACATAAATATTATTATGTGCAACAATTATGCATTTTTTTCTTTCTTATTTTTTCTTCTTATATCAATTTTCCTTTTCACTTTGTTTCGCGACCAAAAATAATTTTGACCATGATGAATAATTGACAAATATTTATGTATCCCTGGCGGATTTACAGCCATAAAATGGTAAAAAAAAAAAGGATCAGAATGGTAGGTAGCCCGTAGCCACACTGCAATTGTACATTCATAAATAGTTGCTCCAAACTTTATTAAGAAACCAAAGCTATCCCCTGCAGTTCAGGTCCGCTCAGGACAAACAATTTAATTGAAGGAGATTAGACTTTTTCCTGCAATTGCATTTGTTCCACATGTGCACATGGTAATTTCAAATTAATCACCATCCCTTGTTAAAGTCTGCTCCGATTGTAACAGAAAAAAAGTACATGGGGAAGGCAGCTTTTCCTTTAATTTGCCCTACTCCTCTGAAGAAATCAAAAACCCTCAATTCCACATTTCAATCCTATAAAATAATTAGGATCCGACGGATATTAATTTATCTCTATTTGATACGATCATTTTTTTTGTTTAATCAAAAATCAAATCTATATATTTTTTTAAAATCAGATTTAGGTTGGATTCAAGTTTAAATGGCATTGTCTCGATTGACTCATAAATGTATTTATTATTTATTTAAATTTAAATATATATTATAGTAACAAAATTATTATTAAATATTTTAATATAAAATATTAATTTAATAAAAATATTATATTTATATATAATTAAAATTTATATTAAAAATTATATTAAATTAATTTTGAATTACTATTTATAAATATATAAATTGAATTAAATAAATATAAAAAATAATATTTTAATATCAAATCAAATTTAAATAAAAATATTAAGAGTGCGATCGAAATTACTTTTTATTATTACCGATATTCTTCAAAAGTAAAATCTTAAATGGATTAAGTTGATGTAGGAAATTGTAAAATCATCGGAAGATTACGTTCATATAAAACATATAATACCCTTTTTTTTTTTTTTAGTTTTAATCAGAGTTGCAATTAACAAATATCAAATGCCAAGAGTACCGTACAAAGATAAACATAAGCATCCCATTTCATATTTTTGCTTCCAAGAGTTGATTTTTTGGTGGGACCAAATGGGACAATTGCCTTGATGTAGAACCAGGAATGCACCCCAAGACAAGGTTGAACCAAACAAACACTCGTATCCCTCATTTCGCATCACCTACCGCTATATGCCTGAAGTCCAATTTACAATCATATACGTAGACAAATAGATTTGCACGTTAAATTAGTAATCCATCAAAACCATATCCCAAAATTAATTTTTTTTTATTTGAAACTATCAGATCATCACTATAATTAAAACCTCGGTATTCTATCAATAGGTCACATTATTATTGGCAAAATTAGATCTATTTTTCGCTAACTTTATTATACATCTCTGTATATATGTCTCATCTCAGTTTTTTCTTTCTTGCTAAATCTCCCACTCCAAAAGGTTTCTCATCATTTCTTATTTTCTCAGCTTGAGATCTTGGCATCTCCACCACTGAAACCAGCAGCTGTACCACCTGAAGTCATGACTGGCAAGGAATATCGCCAGCACGACGATGACGACCAGCTTGTCAAGCGCATATTGATGGCCATTTTTGGGTTGTTGATCGTCTTTGCCATAGTGGTTTTCCTTGTATGGGCATTTCTCCACCCCGCCAAGCCCCGGTTTATCCTTCAGGATGTGACTATTTATGCTTTCAACCTCACAGCTCCAAACCTCCTCACTTCAAACATGCAAATCACTTTATCTTCCAGGAACCCCAATGACAGGATCGGCATTTACTACCTAAAACTCGATATGTTCGCATCTTATCGCAACCAGCAGATAACTTTACCAACACCGCTGCCAAGAACCTACCAGGGCCACCAGGACGTCACTATTTGGTCCCCAATTTTGTACGGCAATTCTGTGCCAGTGGTTCCATTTCTCGAGACAGGGTTGAGCCAGGACATGAACGCTGGGTTGGTGTTGCTCAACATCAAGGTTTTCGGGCAATTGAAATGGAAGGTTGGGACTTGGATTTCAGGTCGGTATCAAATTAGCGCCAATTGTCCAGCTTATATTTCCTTTAGTGATCGAACTAAGGCTATCCAAGTTGGTCTAGCTATGAAGTATCAGCTTGCGCAAACTTGCACTCTGGATGTTTCTCTTGACTAGTTAATTATGTTCCCTCTCTCATCAATAACAGTCTTTTTTCCCTTATTGTTGGTTATATGACTTTTTTAGTATATAATTATATCCTATGTGACTGCCTTTACCTTCATATATATTCAATCTTTTTGGTTCTTTTGTTTTCTTAATCTAAAATGACAAAAACATTTCTTGAAAATTGAAAGGATTCGACCTATGATACTCCCCTTTAAAGGGTAGTTGACCACGGATTCAAGATTTGTGGTTTCACTTTAAAATTGTGCCCTTTTTTCTTAAAAAAAGCACAATTTTTTGATATATTACACTATAGGTTTTATCTCGAAACTGGTTAGCTACCACTTCTTGATACTATAATAACAAGAAAAAAATCTTAATGCTATGATTGTTATCAAATTCTAGAGCTGTTTGACAGAAGTTCAATGTCCTGGAAACTGCAGAAGCTTCAGCAACTTTCTCCAATCCTGTGAATCATTTCCCTTTTTTTTTTTTTTTTTGGAGGTGGGAAAATTAAACCTTGATTTCGACAAAAGAATATGTTTATTACTAGTTTATTGTCTAATTGCATATTTTTTGGACCCTGTTCCAAGGAAGCAGGACACCGAGTAATTAAACTCACGTTCTCTATGGTCAACTTAAACAGTAAACTTGGCTAAATCAAGTTTTAAAGCTCATTATTTTATTTTCCCCTTCTCAATTTCTTTGGGTCAGGTCAGTTGTGTAACTTTGCTCATTCCTGGGTTAACCCCCATGGCTAAAGACCAATTCTAGGTTCCAGCAATAGTTCTCTTTTATAAAAGTTGTTGCAGTTTGAAGACAGAAAAAAACGTTACAGATGTTAAAATTTATATCTTAAATTTATTAGATATCATCATTTAATAATAACTGCATAAACTAACTGAATTAAATTTCGAATACAATTATATTTTTCAACAGAAAGCTTTTGTCAATGCATGTTAGGTGCTATTAATATAACTCATCATTGACCATACCAATGAAATCATGGGAAATTTTTTCTGGTAAGATGTATGCCCTGAGAGTTTGAGTAGGGAGAAACAAATCTAGTTTCTTTTTTTCAACACTTTAAAAAATTTAGGCTTTACTGGTTCTCAAAGAAGGGTGATTACTTCACCTGCTTACATACCATTGGAATTATTGAGGTTTGGTATAGTTGGAAGTTGGAACAAGTCTTCACTTCAACAAGCTTGGCTCTTCGCACAACTGACTTCATGTAATAAATATAGAATAATCAACCAAACATACTGTATATGATAGTGAAGAAAAATAAGATTAAGATGTATTATTATAAAGTTTGGTTTGAGTAAACTGAGATTAAAATGTAGAGAGACATAATCAGAGAATGTGCAAGATAAAAAAAAAAAAATGTAGAGCCAGAATATATCAAAATCATCTTAGATGCTATTTGTGCACTAATGTACAAGAGAACAGGTTGAGCAAATATTTAGGTCTTTTGTTCATTCTTTGCTTTTGGGAAACCAAGTCTGTCATGCTTGCAAAAAAGCCGTATGATGGGGAGTAGAGAGAGTTCTATCCACATATTCCCATCTTGCAAAGCCTATCCACATATCTGCTGGAATTAACACTTACTCAAAATCGAATCCAAGTATAACTTAGTTGATTTATACAGTTGCCTTTAAAATTTAAATTTCAACATCTACGATATCTTTTATTTCCAAACTGTGACCTCATATCATCTTCGGCATCTTAGCCATAATTCTCACCGCACTTCCCGCAATTATTTTTGCTGTTGCAAATTTGTTTTCATGTGATCAGAAGTTGTAAAGAGAGAGAACCTCTTCTCTATCTTTATGATTTCATATTTCAATCCAAATAACTAATTGACAAAACAAAATGCACAAAAAGAAAAATGAAAGAAAAAAAAAAGAGAAAATGATTGTTGATGGTGAAAAGTAAATGCATGACTTAGCTGATTCAATAGAAAAGTAGAAAACTACTATAAATTACCTTTACTCTCACCATGCTACAAGACAATAAAACTTGTTATCAGATTGCATTGTCATGTCATAATCCATGGTACAAGTGATGCTTGCAATTTTTTACCAACTCTCCCAATACATGGTAGAAAATTATTACTAGGTCAAGGACTTTTTATCACCTTACACAAAATAAATTAACCGTAAGCAATGTGATGAATTTGGATGATTTTTCATGCCACCATTTTGTTTAATATATGTATTTATTATTAAAAGAATTGGGTTTAAACTCGAAATTTAATTTAATTATTTTATACAAATATTTTTAAAAGATATCTAGATATGAGCTTGTAATCTCTTCTTTTATCATAAATTAAGATCTTTCTTTAACTAAAAAAAAATTAGGCTCAAGCTCCTTTTCAAAATTGAAAAAAAAAAAAGGAAAATTGGTGACTGGATTCTGAATTATGATTTTCTTTTAAGTCCATCTTGCTAAACCCAGCCCAAACTTTTGACAGAGGTAAGCTAAGCATTTAAGCAGCAGTCTCAACTAATGTGGGGTTTTTGGTTTGAGGCGAGGCGACATTATGTCTGGCCTATGCAGGATTACCATAGCCCACCCCATGAGGACCTAAAACCTATCATTTTAGTTTTTCCTTAACGTTGCAGATAATCATTTCAGCCTTCTCTGAACAATGGAAAACCATGCCAAGAAAGAAGGCATTTGTTACAAATTACAAGCCATTTGTTACCATGTTGGCATGTTCCCTAGTAGGCTTAGGACAAGAAAGAGAGTGGAGAAGTTTATTAAAAGATTTTCAAGAAGATATCACAAATGCCAGTATTCAGATATAGCAAGTGTTAGTGATTTGATACATGGATGGTCTGATAGTGTAATATGAAAGCAGGTTCAACCCTGCACTGCATCTACTAAACTAATGTTGAATTGTGTGTCTGAAGAAAACGAAATTTGAAACTCAGAGCTTCCAAGAAGCGTTCCTTCCATGTCCATCCCTACCAGTACCACCATGGTCCATTTGCATCTGATTTGAAGGGTCACCGTTTTAAACCTTTTTATCAACTCATGAATGTCTCGCCACCTAGAAGGTAACCCTTTCCCACACTACAGGGGTTTAGGTTGTTAGTGACAATTTTTTTTTAATGTTTAGTGACGTTTATAAATGCTACTAAAAAATTTACGACGTTTACAAAAAATATCAATCATAGTACCAACTATACACGCGTCGCAGAAAATAACGACATTTTCTATAAAATGTCGCTATATTAACAGTGCTTGTAGATGAAAAATGTTACTATATTAGTGGCGTTTGTATGTGAAAAATGTCGATATATTAGCGGTGTTTGAATCTAGAAAACGTCACTATATTAACGAAGTTTGTATATAGAAAACACCGTTATTTTAACGACATTTGTATCTTTGAGATGTCACTAATTTAGTGACGTTTTTATCAAAAAAATGTTGTTACTTTGGTGGTGTTTGTATCAGAAAAATGACGTTAATTTAGCATATTTTTTGGTAAAAGTATCGTTGCTTTTAGTGATATTTTATAGTACAAATGTCACTAAATTATTCATTTAGCGATATTCTTAAACGCAAACGTCGCGAAATTAAGAAATATATTTTTTTTAAAATGAAAATTTTTTGTAAATATTTATTTTTTTCATAAACGAGCTTAAATTTAGAAACTGAAATTAATATAAACTTAATTCACGTTCAAATATACATCTAATTAACACAAAGTTTAATAATTAGTATAATAACATTCAAATTTTTTTATACATTAACAAAATAAAAATTAAAATGTATGAAATTGATGACTGCATATATTTTGAAGGCTACCAATTGATGAAGAAATTTTTCACTTTGGTCACTAGTGTGCTTAAGAACTTACTGAATAATAGCATACCATTTTTAACACTTCATTATAAGCTTTTTTTATATTAAAAAAGATAAATATTTACTAAATATAATACCTAAGTTGGTGGACCACCGAGATAAGTTTCTGAAAATTATTGTTGCACAAAATTCATAAGATGATCGCATTGATCATACAACTGCTGAAATTTTACACGCTCTTACTCTATTCTAGCATGTTTTTCCTTAATTTTGGCACGTTCCTATTCTCTTTCTACTTCTATTTGTTGGAAACGTTGTTATATAGTTTGCAACTCCTCTCTCAATATTGAAATGTCTCGCGAATATTGATTTGCTGATAATGTAAATTGCTGAGAGCTACGTCAATAGTAGGTAGATGGTGTTGGACTCAATCCAAGGCCTCGGACCCATCTATGCCTTTTTTTTCTAGCAACTTCTATGAATATCTGATTTTTCAATTCTTGTATGTTGAGAGAATAATCAAATACTACTTCAATTTCAGTAGCCATTTTATCTTTCACTTTTTCTTGTAAATTAGTCATATACAATTATCAAGTTTAATGATTAATTGATAATATGTTAAAAAGAGTAAATATTTATTTTCTGTTAAAATAGATGTTACAAATTATCATAATTTCTTATGTTTCGACATTCATGTAAAATCCATCTTTTTTTGTGAGTGTTAAGTGAAAAAGCTCCATACGTCCAATTTTACCGTCCATCTCAATCTTTTATACAAAAACATATATTATTTGATATGATACATATTAACCGTAACTTACTCATGCATATTAAGCCTGTCAATCGAGTTCAAAAATTTTGAATAATTTTAATATTATGTATTTATATTTTGGCCCTTTAACAACACAATAATCTTAAATAGACGTAAACAATAAAAACATTTTGGCCTTTCACACATATTGATCATGGTAACCAAATTTAATTATTTGGATAAGTTTAATATCATGGATTGAAGCCATTGAAGCTGCTGAAAGCCATCCAAAATTTTAATTTGTATTTATGCCTTTTAAAGACAAAAATAGTCCCAAATAAACATAAATAATAACTTTTTCACTCATATCAACTGTAGAAACTAAGTTCAATCAATTAGACAAGTTTAATATCAAGTATTGAAGTTATCCAAACTATTTAAATAGAACAATAACAA